TAGTCCAGTTCCAATTTTTGTTGTATCAACTTCGGTGTTGATGACATATTCCAATTTCTTGGTATAACCTTAAATTATCATAAGTATGTTTCTTATCAATCTTGAAAACATCTTAACTAAGGTATTCATATATAAGATAGACTGTATATTTATTAAGATATACATTAATGCGACATTTAAACGTGATTGTTAATGTAATTATGTGATCTTAATTTATGTGACATATATCGTTCTTACATTCCATCTGGTCGGCTATGGCAAACAAGCTCCCGCTCGTCTTTGTAGATCAGTCATTGAACTCTGTCCAATCGGCTCTACTAGTTCCTCACTCCAACATGCACAAGAAATATCTATCTCTATATTTATGACTTTTGGAGAGAAGGATACAAAGACTGCATCGTAACCCTTTTCAATCGCCCGACTCTAGTAAGTAATAACCATCAACAATATAATTGCAATTTTGGTTCTCTCTTGAATGAGAGGATGAACTTTTTGGTTATGGTTCCTAATAACTGCAGTAGGGATCTAGTTTTTCAAAGTAAAAAATTCAGGGGATTGGCAGGAATCTCTCATTTTGAACTTTTCAAAATTTGAACACAAATCTTAAATTTTTATTAATAAATGTTTAATAAAACTTGAGAAATCTATGTTAAAGTCTTTAAATTTCTGACATATTGCTTTAAGTACTTCCAAATTAAACGTCAGAATAATTTATGAAAGACTAAAGTTGTAAACATGTTGAGTTTAGATCTAGGATTACTTAGAATCCAAGTTTTTGTTTGAACTAGAACTAATCATGAAATTAAATTACACAATCAAGTTTAACGAGTTCCTAACCTCTAACCAGGTAACTCATATTTCAGTAGATCAAAGAGATTACAATACCACAAGCTGTGATGATAAATTGTTTAGGGTTTATACAAAATCAACATCTATTAAGAGGATACAACGTCTACTAAGGATCAATAAACTTAAGCATAAGTCATTCATCCCTCTATGGTTGTTTCCTTTCTCTTGCTTGATCTTCGCCAATATCCTTCTTCTGTTATTATGATGCTGCTCTTTCTCCACCGAATAAAACCTAGATGTGAGCTTGGGACTTGTATATGCACATATCATGCATATTTGGCTTGGCTTTTGCTTGCGTCTATACACAAGATTAGGCCAGAGGCAAATATCCAACAAAACCATTGATAATGATGGCTTTAGAATTTCAGTCCGTTTCTAATGGAGACGGTTTGTTTAATGGGCCTGCAATGGAATCGAGTTCAGAATTTCAGTTGTGGTTTAACGTGTTCTTAACATTGGGTTATCTAATTTTTGCGTTTCAAGCCCAATCATCTAATTAAGTTTAATTGGTAACGTCGCTACTTGCTATCTCTAAATTACCTTTTGTGGAAGCCCCCTTATCCAGTGGTTTGACTAAGGGTTCATTAATACTTCTACACCAGCAGGTACGGGGTTCGAATCCCAGAAAAGATGGAATTATGCGAATTAATGGAAAAAGGCTTACAAGAGATCTGCAGCATGGCACAAGGAGTACCATCAAGCGTGGATCCGATAGGACGGCCCAGATGATGCAGTCAGGCGTGCGTGTATCCTCATAAGATAAGTATAGAATTGTCGGCTGTTGAATCGTCTGTAACATTTCTCGTAGTTTGTAATGGCATAATTATCCAGTGTTAAAAAAAAAAATTAATTCAAATAAATCCCTTATATATTAAAGGAGAAACATTTAAAATATTGTAACCTCAATTTTGTAATAATTAAAAAAGACTTCATGCTTAGGTGTCACTCAATTAGATAGTCAATTACATTCAATTGAAAAATAAGTAGGTCCACATTCGATTTTTATATTTCGTTCGATACATTCGTTGGTCAAATGATATGATGATATGATATGATATTTATGATAGAAACATTTATGATTGTTCCCCTAGATATATTACTATTTTATTTTCTTTCCATAAATAAAACCTACGGAATTACCATAAATGACTAATATATATATATGACACTTAATGATTCTAATAATAAATATTTGATAACAGTTTATATATCCTCCATCATTTTTCTTTAATTTTATATTATTAAATAAATTAAACAATCAAATTAGCTATAAAATTAAACTTTAGTTTTTTTCGTATAGGTTATATTTTGAATTTAAAAAAGCGAGAATAAATAACTAAACTATTAAAATTATTATGTTAAAAATTAATGATCAATAGTTTAACATTTTTATCATAAAAAGATATACATGATTTTAAAACCATATAAGTAAAAAGTATCATTCAATAATAAAACAAATATATATACAGATTAAACTATATACCATATAAGATTACATAAATATTTTAATTTCAAAATCCTCAATAAATTTTCAAGAACATTTATAAATTATAAATTATTAAATTTTTCACATTGAAAATTTTTGTTATCAATGATTTAAATATCTTAGGTCTTTTTTTAATTTTATATTTTTAAAAGATATTAACAATTGATAATATGGTTATTTTTGGTATATACCATACAAACCGAATGGATGTGATTTTATAAAAACCATAGGATTTGGATATGGTTTGATTTATAACCGATTAAACTGAAACATGCAAATATGTATATATTTATAACGACGCATGAATATCTATTTGTTACATGAGTTGAACTATAATTATAATTTGTAAATAGCTAACAATTTATTACAACGTAGACTTCTTATTTTGATCTTTTTCTTTTTTAACAGTAACTAAATTGAAGTAAAGATTATAAATTTGATGGACAACAATTAGTTGAAATTCTTTACAACTTTTTTTTATCTTTAAACAAACAGAGTTGTGTTCAATCGAAGACATATTGGTTTGATGAACACTAAATATGGAAGAATATAAAAACTTTTCTTTCATGCTTCTGTTTTGTTTTTTTTTTTTTTTTTTTTTCAAAATTTAGTGTTTTGATATTAATTCTAGATTTGATCATTTTATTAGATGATAGAAGCCTTTTTGTTTTTTTATTCTTTTATTTAAATATATAATATTTTTTAATAAATGACTCTGTGACAATATGACTTTAAATATGATCATATTATATATTTGTATAATATATAATATGATCTCAAACTAAATAATCATGTTTTTGGTATAAACTGAATAAACTGAAAATCGATGGTATATAAACCAAATCAAACTAAAGTACATATAGATTTAGAATAGTAGTTATATTTTAATAATCGAAATACCAAAAAATCGAGCCGAACCGAAACCCGATATCTGGATTGAACACCTCTAATCCGAATGAAACCGAACTATTGTTTCATTTTTCAAAACATAATAAAAATAAAAGCTTCATCCCGCGCAAGGCGCGGATCTTATTCTAGTCTATATTATAATAGTACACTTTCTAGGCTCGACAGCGCGCCACGTCAGCAGTTTTGTGGGTCCCATAGATATTTTTTAAATAGCCATAGTCTTGTAAGATGATCAAAAACAATGAAATACACTTTAGCCAAGTGGTATAAGGTGTCTCATTAAGTATGCAAGATTGTGGGTTCAAACCACGCAGTTACCATGTATTTTTGATTTTTTTATTTGGGTTATTATCATATGGGCTTTTGTTTATAAAGTTTTTATGTTTTTTTGGGCTTATTGTTTTAAAGATCAAAATAGTTGGATAAACCCTAAATCTTAACAAATTCAAACCCAAAATAGTTAAAAATGAATCGAAAACGAACAATAAAAAAAAAGCAAAAAAAAAACAAGTCTCACGCGATTGCCTATGCGAATGGCTTAAAGAACCTTAAAACTATCTTATTATAATATAGCTCAACCCAAAAATAATAAAAAATAAATACAAAAACGAACAGACCAAAAAAAAGTGAATTCCACGCGACTGTATATGTGAATGGCTTAATGAGGCTTGAATAATATATATTAGGAGTTCAAAAAGTTAAATCATTGCACATATTTCCTAATATATATTTTCAAAAAAAATTGTATGTGAGATAAAATAAAATAAAAAACAACAAAAATTAATTATTTTCCTTATTTATTAAATGAATATGTAATTTGTCTTACATTTTAATAACTACTATAATTTCATTGAAAATATTCCTCACCACCGATTCCAGACTCCGACGAATGGATTCCCACAGTCGATGACGCCGTAGATAAAAATGCCACATCATTTATGAACAAAACTCAAACTTACAAAAAAACCATATATAAAAACCTATCTAATGAAACTTAAACAACGAGTATTAACTTAATTAAGGTTATTTTCAAATTGATAAATCGTTTAATACAAATATAAATACTATAAATATAGAATTATATCAAGTTTTGATCTACGATATAAAAACTATTTACAGCAAAAAAACACCTACATTTACACATTAAAAATTATATTATAGCCTAACTATTCCTATAAACCTTACTTCGCATATAAATAACATTTAGCACATTCCTAATATTTTTCAAAAAAATTGTATGTGAAATAAAATAAAATAAACAACAAAATTTAAGTATTTTTCGTTATTTATTAAATGAATATGTAATTTCTTTTATATTTTAATAACTACTATAATTTCATTGAAAACATTTCTCACCACCAACGAATGGATGCCCACAGTCGATGACTCCGTAGATAAAAATACCACATCATTATGAGCAAAACCCAAACTTACAAAAAACCATATAATAAAAACCTATCTAATGAAACTTAAACAACGAATATTAACTTAATTAAGGTTATTTTCAAACTGATAAATCGTTTAATACAAATATAAATACTATAAATATAGAATTATATTAAGTTTTGACATACAATATAAAAACATGAAATTTTCCATTTCATTATTATTTGGTGTCATTAGAAGAATTCATTAAACCAACAATCGAAAAAATACACGTAAACATAATGATCTCGGCTCCGCACTTGCGCGTGGAGTATGCAACTACTACTTAGAAAAATAAAGACATTACGTAAAAGAAGTTATTATTAGAAGTATGTTTTTCATTAATCTTGGAAACATCTTAACTAAGGACAAGGTATTCATATCTAAGCTTAGATATTCTACTATTTATAAATTAGAAGTAATAGTGTGACATTAGAGCACCATTAACGCAGTAGCTTAGGGAGGTGCTTAGTGATTTTCGGATTAAAAAAAAATGAAAATAATAAATTAAAGGAAACGTTGGTGCTTAATTAAGCTTTCCAAGCAGCGGAGCTAATGAGACACATGTCATTAGACGCGTCTTTCTCTCCGTGCTCGTCATCTTTGCTCGGATTTGTTTCACGGGAATCGACTTCAGCGTGATGAGGAGATTGCAGACGGCGACGGCGAGAATATTGGAGCAAGAGACGGCGTCACAGCCGTGGAAGAAGAGACGGAGTTCGGCGGCGGCGGTTGTTGGGGTGGTGATCTGTTTGGTGGGGATGGCGTTGATGATGATGATGATACCAATCCTTTGTCGTCTGTAGATTCCAAACTTAGCTCAAATCTATCTAGTCGGTTTCTATGAGTGAAAGAGTTTGCACTTTATGGGGAAGAATACTATGATGAAACGTTCGGTTGAGATTCACGCTAAGAATACTGGAAATACTGGGATTCTCAATCTCATACTCCTCTTTCAGGTTTTGATTTACATTTTGAGATTTTCTTTTAAAGTTTTTGGTTTTTAATTGAAAGTTTTGATTTTTATTGAGATAGTTATGTGTTTTTGTGTTTAGGGAAACGTTGGTTTGATCTTCACCAAGGGAGATTTCAAGGAAGTGAGCGAGGAATTTGCCAAGTACAAGGTTTGATTATAGCTTTTAATCATACAGAAATGATTGAGTTCGTACTTCCATAGCTCTGTTTACTGTCTTAAATAGTATGTGTAGCTAAAATGAGCACTGTCTCCAGCATCAACTGGATTATACATGAATGAGTTCTTACTTGCATTTCTGCGTATATTTGTTTAGTCTCACATTTAGCTGTTCCATAGCTCTGTCTTAATAGCATGTGTAGCTGAATCGCTTACTGTTTTCTGCATCATTATACATGGATTAGTTCTTACTTGCATGTCTGCTTATATTAGTTTAGTTTAGCTGTTAGTTCATGAAAAAATGATAGTATGTATAATTAAAATGATTCTCAATGTGAGTGGATTTAGATGTAATTCCTCGTTTATGTATTTCTTGTAATATGAACAGGTTGGTGCTCCTACTCGTGTGGGTTTGGTTGCGCCAATTGATGTGGTTGTCCAGCCTGGCCACACTGGTTTAGATACCTCTCAGACATCTTTCTTCCAGGTTTTTTTATTAATCATGCTTTGTAATAATCTGACTTGTTGAAGCTTCTTTAACTAATAAATGTGTTTTGGGATTTATAGGTTCTTTTAGTAACAAATCTATCTAGTCTTTTGTTTGACTTGTTTAGTAAGATTTTTTTGTTGTTTTCCCCTTTCAGGAACCTGTGAAGACAAGGTATCCTCAACTGCAGTATGAATCGAAATTATATATGTTTCTTCAAGGGGGAAGTGAGTTTCCTTTCTCTAATCTCATCATCATTTTATATATATGGTTCCCACTAGGCACTAGTACTACCTTTGAATAGACAAAGGAAGAAGACATGAACTACTAAACAATGGTTAATATTTTTTTTAAGAATCCCAAAATATAAGCAACTTGCATTGGAGACAAAAAATTAGAAGACTTTTAATTAAAGTGCTTAACACACATTTATTAGTAGAAAAATGATTAAGCACCCTATTAGGGATGCTAGGGTTAATGGTGCTCTTAGACGTAGCAAGTTGCTAGCAACGGTGTACGTCCTAAAAGGCTAAAACAGTAAATACCTCTACTAGTACTAGCAAATATCAATCGTAAAGAAGACGAGTCTTTATCATCTACAGTTAATCTTAACCGTCCATTCAAATTCACAGTGACGTGTCATCCCAAGGTAACTTTAGTCCTCTCTCCAACGTCTTTTAACCAGCGTTAAAGTGAGTTAGCGGGTAAAAAAAAAGAAGTGAAATATCTAGAGGAAGAAGAAGAGAGAGAGTAACAGAAAAGCTTTTTTGTTTTCTTTGTTTTCTTTCGTTTCCGTACAAATGGCGCCGCCGAAGAGTGAGGGAGAAGGGAAGCCGAAATCGACGACGGTGACTACGCCGACAACAAGGCGGACTCGGAGCATGGACCGGAAGACTCGTAGCCAGTCTCAGGGCAAGTCGCCTGGCTCTTCATCCTCCTCCAAGCTGATGACCTACGAGTCTCCCGAGAAGAAGAAGAGGAAGCCGAAAGCCAAGGAGACTGGAGCTGCGAGTAAGAAGATCAAGGTGGAGGACGAGGAGGATGAGCCAGCTGTCGAAGAGTCCAAGAAGCCGGAGGAAGGAGATGACGTCGCTGCAGAAGAGGAAGGAGACGACGTCGCTGCGGAAGAAGGAGACGACGACGACGGCGCTGAGCACAAGAAGATCGCGATCGAGCACTGGTATACGAAACCTCATCCCTTCTTTTAGGTTATCGAACGTAATCGTTTCTTGAATCTGCTCACGAATGTGTCACTCGCCGTTGATTCCACATCGAATCGCTAGGGTTCGTCGTTAGGGTTTCGTCCTTGATTTTTGCTGAATATTATTGTTTCTCTCTGTTCGTGAGGCTAATGAGTGTGTATTGTTTGTGATTGTTGACGTTCTTAAGAAGAGAAACTAGCGATTCATCTGAATATTTGAAAGATTATATGTATCGTTAATCTCGCTGAGTCTTGTTGTTGGTTTTCTTGAAGCAAACAATGCAAGTCTTTCAAGGAGAGGGCCAACGAGGTGAAGGAGGGTCTCGAGAAAGCTGTTCCTGGCATCATTGTCACTCTCAATGCTGATAAGGTAGTTTTATCTATTTGACTTGCACATGGTTAGATATCCTCATAAATGCTTGATAAATGTCACGTTATGCTTTGCTAAGTTGCCTTTTTGGATCTGATTTTTCGCAGCCAAGGCGTGGTTGCTTTGAGATTCGTGAGGAAGGTGGTGAAACGTTTGTCAGTCTCTTGGTAAGCAACTTTGTTCATTCACAAATGAGTTTTCTTATCTTGTCCATATATAGTAACTCTTTGATGATTTGCGTTAGAATAGATCCTTTGATTTTATCTCTGCTGAGTCCTCTGATCACGAAATGAGGTTTTCTGAGCATCTTAAAATGTTTTGAGAATCAAGTTGAACGATAAGTAGTTTGAAACAGGAATAATTAGCTAATCAGTTTGTTGGTAAGTCATTTATTCGCACTTCTTTGAGAAACTTTGTTACGAGTTATCTCATCTTTTCCCTAGTAATTCGTAAAACACTGTTTCGAAAGTGATAGCTCCTATTACTGCTGAATCAACTGATCACGAACGAAGTTTTGTGAGCATCATAAAACATGGGTTTAAGTTATTTTCTCATGAGCTGAATCAAGTTGAGTTCTTAGTTTGACATATGAATGAGCTAATCCGTATGTTAGTGACTTAGGTATGCAATATAAAAAATGTTTGCTTTCATGTTCTTTAATCTTCTCAAGTTACATAGAAGGTAATGTGATGTGACTACTCTTATGCAGGATATGAAGCGCCCGTTTAAGGAGATGAAGGATCTTGATATGGAACAGGTCATTGCAGAGATCGTCGAGAAGCTTAAATGACAGGCTGCAGCTACGTAGGTCCTACCAATGCCGAATCTTTTGTATCTTTCTTCGGCTCTCGGCATATTATCAAATAGACTTCATCAGTATGAGCAACTTTTTAGGATTTCTTTTGATACTCTTTGGTGAAAACCCTTTACGCTCGGTTTCATCACTTTGCAGTGCTTAATCGGTTCTGTGCAGTTTCTTTATGCTAAAACTTTCTGACATTGGTTGATTTGAAATGATCACATGGAGCAATTTGTTACACGTTTTGTTAGATTGTTCGTGTTGAATTGAATCAGTGAAGATAAAACACAGGTTACACTTAAACGATAAAAAAGTTCCCTAATGATAAAATGATTTTGAGGTACATTAGTGTGAATAGAAATTGTCTAGTAATTTTGGTCCACTTCATATCACTATGATTATGTCTACGGTCGAGTCTCATTTTCAAGCTGTTGTCAACTAGCTCTGTCTAAAAACATCTTAGAATCCAGCAAAGCTAGCCACAAAACTGAGAACGAGAATTCCACCAAAGCTCAAACCGGTGTTAGAGGCAGAAGAAGGTGGTTCAACCTCATCAGCTGCTTCCATCTTCTTCTTACCAGCTTTCTCTGGGGCCGGAGCAGGAGAACCATCTTTTGATGGGGCCGGAGCAGGAGAACCATCTTTTGATGGGGCTGATGCAGGTGCGGTTTCTGGAGCTGCACCGGGAGGAGAATCTGCGTAACCCTCTTCCTCAGCTGGTCCAGGAGCTGGAGCGTCTGCAGCCTCATTGGGAGATGGAGCCGGTGATGAAGACACGGGTGGTGGTGGTGGAACCTTAACCGGATCCCCGAGTCCAGGAGCCACAATGGGCATGCTTATTTGGACAATAGAGAGATTGAATGGGTTACGGAACACGGTCGTGATGTACTCAGCGGTTTGAGGAGCGCCTTTCACAGCAGACCCGAAGTAAATCTTTCCGTTAGTTTTGGAGCACCTGAGAAACCCGTTTTGTTGTTGGCCTAAACCGGTGGATTGGTAAAGGGTGGTGAGCATTGTGCTCTTGTCCTTAATAGCCTTTAGTTTGAGCCCATCGTAGAAGTCAAGAACCACATGGTTCATAAGAATGTTTTTGAGCTCGTCCTCGGCTCGACCGGAGATGGAACCGATAGCATCGTTGCTAAGAGCTAACAAGGTGATTGTCTGACGTTTGTTGATAATTGGTGTGAGCTTGGCCTTGGCTAAAAGCTCGGTCATGGTGCTGAATTCAGGATATTTATCGAGTGCTCTGGTTATGTTTACCGCTGATACAATGGATGATACACCGAGTAAGATGGTGAGAGAGAGGAGCGAAGAAGAGGCCTTGAAACACATTTTGGATTTTTTTAGTTAATTTATTACCCTTTCTTTTCCTATAGTAAAAGCTATATTTCAGCCTGAGTTTGTCATAAAAGGATCTGGTTGTGTATATATATACAAACATTTAGAGGAGCTCAATATTAATGGTGGAGAGACATTTTCTAAGATTATGTTTTGGCTATATTTAAACTTGTATTTGTTGTTCTCACCTTTATTTATTAGCTTTAGACTGTTTTATTTCTTACCTTTAGTTTTCGGGTTAGCAATCTTGTTATATTCATAAATCTGTTAGTGAAATCTTTTTTTTTCATAGAGGTATGTTTAATCAATTATATTTGTGTCTTAGTTTATTGTTTCAGATTTTTTTTTTAACTATGAATCCATTTTTAAATGTAATTGTAAAATTTTTGGTGGATCTCGTTAAGTACATCAAATTTAAGTGATTTTGTTCTTTTCTTTTAAAAAGAGATGGTGTCTAGAAATGATCACAGGGTCCATATTTCATATTTTGCCGAGGGTTACTATATTGGTTAAGATGACACTGGGAACCAAACACAGTTCTTCAACAAATCAAGACCCGCTTCAACGACTCTGTCTTGTCTCGACTTATCACCGATCAAATTGTTCTCGAATCTCAACGGAAAGATTTGCCACAAGGACCCTTGTTGATCACGCTATTCGTCAAATTTACAAAGAAAGAGTACTTCGTGGCACCTTTTAGTTCTGCTCCTTTGATAGCGAAAGTAGAAGGATCTTGTGCGGTTTGTTTAGAGGAGATGTCAGAGGAACAAGAAGTCCTATGCCAACCGCCTGGATCTGTGCACATGTTTCATGAAGATTGCTTGACCCATTGGTTGGATCGACATGACTCTTGTCCTCTCTGTCGTCAACCCACAAACCGTTTAACCAACAAACAGAGTGAAGCTTTGGAGAAGTTAACAGAGGCTTAATTAGGGTTTCTTCAGTAATGATCCGTGTGTTGGAAGTCTAATTAGGGATTTCTTTAATGTTTATGGTTTCTCAATGTTTGTCACAGTTAGGGTTTCCATTCTCATTTGGTGTAATGATCTCGTTACTATTTTTTGTTCGCAAAAGTTTTATTGAAAAACATTGTTTTAATTCTCGTCTTATAATAGTTCATTGTACCCTAGTTTGTGTAAAAAAAAAACCACAATGAAAACCAACTACGCAACTTAGATACAACTATTAACTTGCTAAGATTGTTGAAGATAACAAAAAGGAATGAGTCTCATCTGGTTCAGCATAGTCCCATCAGCATTCTGCATTTATAGGTCAATTACATATGAACCTAAGACAGTATTCTACAGCTGAGTGCTAACTAGACATTGAGAAATATACAAAATCTTGGTGCGTGTTCGAGAATAAAAAAATACAAAACCTTGGTGCAGTACACTTTCATGTCATCATCTCTTCATAAAACAAAATTGAATGATTAACATGATTTTAGAGACATTAACGTTTAATCTGTTTAAACCACTTTTACAAAAAAAAAAAAAAAAAAAATGTTTAAACCAACGGTTGGGTTATCCATATCCTAACGGGTACAATCAAGAAAAGGAGATAATGAACACGAAAAAGGGAAATGCAGCATTAAATAATTTAAATTAAATGACCGTTTATAAAAAACAAGAAAAGGAAATAAGGGACGTAAAAAAGGAAAGTGAACATTGTTTTTCTTTTATAAATACAAACATCAATCACCAAGTACCAACATATCATCTCAACTTTCTTATTTCACAACAGACTCTCTCTCTCTCTTTTTGTTGCGACACAATCTATTTCTCTCTTGTGCGACTCTCTTGTGTTGTTGAGTTTCAAAGGAAGAAGAAGATGGAAACTAAATCACTCAAGGTAGAAATCAGTGTACAGGCAACGCCTCAGGATCTGTCCTTAGGGTTTTTAAACTCTGTCTTGATTAGTCAAAGTTGGGTAATCGAAGAATTTTTCGTAGACGAGAATGACGATGGTAATATCACGAGTCTCGGCTCTTACTCCGATTCTTCTTCTTCTCCCGACACGCTATCCCTTCTCAGGCTCCAAGACTTTACACCAACCAACGTTCATCAGCAAATCAAGAGCCGCTTCAACGATCCTGTCTTGTCTCGACTCATCACCGACCAGATTGTTCTCGAATCATCCGGAAGAGGAAAAGAGTTGCCACAAGGACCCTTGTTGATCACGGTATTCGTAAAATTTACAAAGAAAGAGTACATCGTCGTGCCTTGTAATTCTGCTCCTCAGACAACAAAAGTAGAAGGAACTTGTGCGGTCTGTCTAGAGGACATGTCGGAGGAGGAGTCGGAACAGGCACTATGCCAACCGCCTGATTGCGCACATGTGTTCCATGAAGATTGCTTGATCAAATGGTTGAATCGCCATGACTCTTGCCCTCTCTGTCGCCAATCCACAAACCCTTTAACCAACAACAACCCCAGTAAAGCTTTGGAGAAGTTAACAGAGGCTTAAACTAGGGTTTGGTTTCTTCAAGTAATGATTTTTATTAATCCGTCTGATTAGGGTTTTAAAATCACTTATAGTTTGTGATTTGGTTCGTGTAGGTTAATTAGGGTTTCTCATTGGTTTATTATGTATCCACCTCGTTACTATTTTTTTTGTTGCCAACAATGTAAATGTGTAATGCAGTAGATTTTAATAAAATTAGTTCGCATTATTTCCCCTCTTCTCATTGCATTATCAACTTTCATAACAAGCCTTGCCTTGTTTCTGGTGTGTTACTGACAAAATATTAACAATAGAACCAAGGTTTTAATTACTTCATCGTATGGATATGGCTGAAGCCGAAATACTAAACTAATAACTTAATGCAGGCTTGAGAATATGGAACAACAAAGAAAATGGAAAACTAAAGCAAGAACATAATAGTAATCAATCCATTAAGCAGGCAGGTACTCTAAAGAAGTTGCAGAATTATACTATGATTAAAATGCAGCTCTTCCCAACTGAATTTTAACTCTGTCTTGATTACTCTTAGATTGATCAAAGCTCGACATGCTTGAAGTGATACTCATCGATTGTTGAGTATATAAGACCATCACCTTCCAGTGACTGAATAACACCCATGTGTAAAGAAAGACACAGAAACATAAATACAGCTCATTAAAAATAAAGACACCCCTGTTGTCTTGCACTGCATTAAACATCAATAACACCAATTATCGGGAAAAGGGTCTATTCCTACCCGAACAATTTCAATCGTGCCAAATACAATCCGAACAAATTTTCAGTGCCAAATACGACCTGAACTACGTTATAATGCAAAAATACTACCTGAACTTTTTAAAACGTGCCTAAACCTACATTGACCGTAACAGAAGTTAGTCAACCGTTAAAATGATAAACCGACGTCGGGAAAAGGGCCTATTCCTACCCAAACAATTTCAATAGTGCCAAATACAACCCGAACAAACATCCAGTGCCAAATACGACCTGAACTACGTTATAATGCAAAAATACTACCTGAACTTTTTGAAACATGCCTAAACCTACATTGATCGTAATAGAAGTTAGTCAACCGTTAAAATGATAAAACGACGTCGTTTTTATTCTATTATTAAAAATGAACATTCCGGGACTCGAACCCGGGTTTTGTCACTAAAACATACACATCAACCACTAGACTAAAGCAATTTTTTAAAAAATATTACCAATTTGCAATTATATATGCTACTATACTTTTTAATCTTCTCTAATTAAAACTTTTGTTATTATTATTTCCGATTCTTATAAATATATTAACATATCTTGTAATTATTATATCTTCAATAAACTTATATTATACTAATATATAAATAATAAAATATTTATAATCATACAAAATTAAATATANTTATATATGCTACTATACTTTTTAATCTTCTCTAATTAAAACTTTTGTTATTATTATTTCCGATTCTTATAAATATATTAACATATCTTGTAATTATTATATCTTCAATAAACTTATATTATACTAATATATAAATAATAAAATATTTATAATCATACAAAATTAAATATATTTCATGTTTTTCAACTATTTACAAAATGTCCATATATAAATTATTTTAAAAATAAAACTTAATGGTAATTTATTTTATTTTGGTAAAGTATATTCAGCTTGAATTAATTTTAAGAAACAAAAGAAATTAGTATTTATAAGCTTATTAAATATGTTATTATATTAATAAGAATCAAAAATAATAATAAGCAAAGTTTTAATTAGAGAAGATGAAAAAGTATAAAAGCATATATATAATTGCAAATTTGTAGTACTATTTAAAATAATTGCTTTACTCTAGTGGTTGATATGTCTGCTTTAAATAGTGGCAAGGTCCGAGTTCGAATTCCGGAATATTCATATTTTTTAAAAAATAATGAAATCGAAACGACATCGTTTTATCATTTTAAAGGTTGACTAACTTCTGTTACGGTCAATGTAGGTTTAGGCACGTTTTAAAAAGTTCAGGTAGTATTTTTGAATTATAACGTAGTTCAGGTCGTTTTTGGCACTGGATGTTTGTTCGGGTTGTATTTGGCACGATTAAATTTGTTTGGGTAGGAATAGACCCGACGTCGTTTTATCATTTTAACGGTTGACTAACTTCTGTTACGGTCAATGTAGGTTTAGGCACGTTTTAAAAAGTTCAGGTAGTATTTTTGAATTATAACATAGTTCAGGTCGTATTTGGCACTGAATATTTGTTCGGGTTGTATTTGGCACGATTGAAATTGTTTGGGTAGGAATAGGTCCTTTTCCCCCAATTATCAGTCACAACTTTAGCTGGGTTGCAACAGGTGAAGCAAAGTGAAACTCACGTGCAACCAGGTTGCTTTAGATAGTCTAGATGAGGAAACCACCTACAAAGGAACAACACAGAGTTCATTCTTAGACACAATAGAAAATTCTTAAATTTTTGGACACATAGAAAACCAAACAGCAAAGTTAATTCTTTTGCTATGGCACCATTTTCCTTTACCTGTGATTCAGAGGTCTCTGTGTATAGAAAGTGTATACGCTCAAAATGTACTGAAAATTCATCTCGTTGCAGAGGTCTGTAAAAAAAACACAATCGCAAATATGCAGATATACAAAAAGAAGGAGTAATGTTCAAGAACAACTCACCTGAAAAATTGCCAACTACATGCATTTTGTAGCAACTTTCAGTCCAACGAGTGAGGCTTGCTAGAAGATGACTCCTGTGAAGTTCTTCTGTATTGATATCTCTTAAACATTTCCTCTAACAAACATATTCTGGTTATATTATGCAACACAAGACAAGTTTAACTATCTTCGACTATAAGAATATAACCAATCCTTTCCTATAACCTAAGTGAGCACCATCAACAAGAAAAGCAAAAGATCTCAACAGATATTCGAAAATTATCAGTGCTTTGAATAGGAAGAGAAGCTGAAATATAATCAATTAAGGGATTCATGCATCCCTTAGCTACAACATCAGAGATTTTCCCTTTAACGCTACACGAAAAGATCAAACCCCCAGGTAAAGTATGTTACATAAGAACTTGCAAGGCACGTGACAAAGGCCAATAGAAAGCAAAAGAACGAGGCAACTGATTGTGGACTTTTAACAAAAAAAAACAAATGTCAAATTTGTTATTATTAATTGATATGAATTCTAAACAAATGCTAAGTTACAAACAGAGCAAAACTGCAGCTATTAATTGACATTGTACCTTTGCAATCTCTGCCAAAAACTCAGTATACACACAACAAAGCTCGAAACTCTTTGAGATTTGCCAATAACTTGCTAACTTACAACATGTATCTTGGTTTGGGATCAATTGCATTTCAATAATAATCCACTAACCTGTTCTGACTTCACTCTCTTTCCCCTTCTGGACGAGAGCAGGCTGAACTCAAGACATTATCTAATCCAAGATTTCTTTCACACCTCCAAGTCTTGTTCCTCGAAAGACCGCAGGGAAATTCTCTCTCGGAGAGTTGACCAATTTTCTCCAAGCTGCTGTGGATTTAACTCCATGGCCGTTCTAAAATCAAGCAGAGAGACAGAGTGATGATCTTGTTGTGTTCTGTCATAAGGTCCGTTCCGAGTGTGTATTTGCAAACCGTTGTTCCGAGTCTGACTATCCTGCTTGTCTCTATAACTGCAAGATTTGATCAGCTTCTTGAGATACACATCCAACATAGTATTCAACGTATTAGCACACTCCATCGAAACACCTTCAAGACCATGTGCTACTGCAATACTCTCCATCCTTTTCCTCAACATCTCTGTGTCTGGTAGTAATCCACCACTGTCGTAGCAGCAACTCATTACGGTTGAAACAGGAACCGTTCTACGGTACCCACCACCACCAACACTAGCTGAACAAAACGAAATCCCTAGAGGTGCAACCAGAGGACTCAGTGATACATTTTCATCATCATCTCTCACTGCTGCAGTTGCAACCTGATCTTTACTTGGACCAAGAAACTCACCGTCTCTTTCATCATATCTGCCTGATCTTTGATGATCAAATCTACTCAAATCCCCGTTTTCTCTACAAAGTGGAGACATATGTTCAACCTTCCCATTTGACTCTCTCACCTTCCTGTCACGCATCCCAGACCTAACTTTCCTCGGAGAGATGGGCAAAACGCCATTGGATTTTGACAAAACAGGACCATTCTGACTATTATGGTTAGGGACTAAAGATCCATCTCCTCTACTCTGAACAGGTTTGGCCAAATCTTGAACTGTTGGTGGAGACTTGGAGACAGTTGCGTTTCTCAAGATGGAACGTATCAACTGGTTGTGTAGAGAGAGATTCTCCCTCCCTAACAGCCTGAAACATGACTTATCAAACTCCCTCTTACTAAGCTTCTGAGCCAGAAACCTACTTAGGTAACTAAAATACTTTTTAGATCTCTCAACACCAATCTTCTTCACAATATGACCTTTCATTTCACCAAGATTAATCCTCTGATCTTGAGAACGTTGCATGATTACTACTTATTTTCTTCTACACCAAAATCTTTAACTCCTTCCAGATGAAAATATTAAATTCAAGATCATTATCTACAGCTACAAGCCCCCAGATTATAACCTTGCTGATTCAGTATCAAGTGTACCAATTCAAAAACCTTAGCTTTAGGGTGTCACCAAATCCTTTCCCTCTGGAGGAAGGAACAGTGCCTTTTGCCAACTTCAAGAAAACTGCAACAGCAAAGAAAGACCCAACATTGTAAATCTTTGGACTTTTAGTAAAGAGTAAATTGAGATCAGTTAACAAAAGTATGCAAAGATCTCAGCTTTGGCAACAGAGTAAAGAGACACGAATTGGGTAACCCAGAAAAAATAAGAATAAAATTCGAATTGGAGGAGAAATAGAGGCAATGAGGAGCTAGAGTGAAGCTTGTAAGCAAGAAAAACAAGTGTTCAATAATTGATTCTTGATTGACCAGAATTTTTAAGACAGAACAGAAGAAGAAGAAGTAACTTTAAACCAACCTAATGATTCTTTGCTTTCCAAAAACTCCGTTTATGTATTGATTCAATTCTGTGAAGCCCCCAGAAACTTGGATTGGATTGCTCTTCTCTTCTGGTATTGCCCCGTGGGGATTTGAATGTGTTAAAAAGCTTTGATCTCTGCTTATTGGGTTTCCTCAGTTGTATTCCTTTTCCTGTCTTTTTTTTTTGTTTTTCTCTTTCAGCAAACGTGTTCTTTTTCATCATTTATATCACTCTATTAAACAGAATACTTTTTTTTATTTACTAATACAAACCATATAGTCAATTAAACCACATTACTTAAATTCAACCGATGATTATTTACGGGATATAATTTTGGACATATTTTTGTTTTTATAACAAATTATATAGTTTGGTTTTCAGGCTTAGTATTAAATAAAAACTCCAAAAAATTGAATAAACTTTCATCTTAATGTAACAAAAAATCAATTATTATTTTCAAACACAAAAAGGTATTTAATATTTTTAACAAAACAAATTGTCTATTATTAATCATTTATTTAAATCATGTATTTTAAAACATGTTAATGTATTTTATATTTTAAATAACAATCGCCTTTTTGATAAATTTCAATGATAACTTTTAAATAATTTATAGTTTTATTTTTCTTAAATAATTTACTGATTTGAAGAAAATATAAACCAAAACCAAAAACTAAATATAAAAACTAAAAGCTTAAAAATTCATGTTATATTTTTTTGCTTTTGTTTATTTACAAAATAAACTATTACAATTTTTTTTTAAAATGTTATTTTTCAGTTTTAAAGTAGATGTTCGATTATTTGGAATTTGTTTGTTGGTAATATCAATTCAAAGTAACTCAACGGGTCTAAAAATTAAGATTCCAAACCAAAAGCTGAAAATCAAAAATAAAAACTTAAAAACAAAAAACCAAAATCTAAAACAAAATCTAAAAATAAAAACTGAAACTAAAAACTAATGAAAAACAATCACCAGAACAAATTTTGGTGAACTGATTTTATACGGAAACATTTTTAAATTAAGGCAAAATCCAATTATATAAATTTTTAATCATAAAAAAATTATGCGCTTGAAAAACGCGGATCAAAATCTAGTTAACATTAAACAATTAATAAAGGGGTGGATTAATAATATATAGCTCTTTTTTAATAACGTATAGAATTATTAGGTGTTTTCATGCACCATGTACATAAATAAACATTTTAAAAATAAAATTATATTTAAATATAAAATTTAGTTAATTTATGTTAATTATTTTAAGAGATATTTTCTTAGATATATAATTATCAATATGTAAAATCAAATAATATTGCTAAAATTTATTTATATATGTCATAAATAAAACTAATGGTATTGAGATTTGAAAATCATAATTTTTATAAAAAACCTGCATAAAAGTTTGCAAAAAAAATTATTAATAAAAAATATATAATTTTAAAAAACAGACTTGAAAAATATTTCAATTTTTTTAAATATTGTTATGATTTTCTACTATTATATTGTTTATTGTTATGTTAATGATAATTTATGAGTTATTACCATATTCTAAAAACTTATCAAAAGTATATATTAACATTAAATGTAAATGTAAATGTAAATGTCACAATTAACTTAAAGCCATGTTATCATTATTAGTGGATATGTCATCATATTTTGGTGAAATGGATTGTGATAGTGACACATGTCAAAATTACTTTTGCTGAAAAAAGATTCATAAAAATACATCAACTTAATTTCGTTAAATCTTTTAATACTCAATTTTTTCTGCTACTAAATTTAATACCTCGATTAATTATTTTGTTCATTTTCATATATAATTTTTAATTGTGTCAATTTTAAAATCCAGATTTTTTTTATTAAAAATACTAATAAGTTTCAGATAATTTTTTTAAAAAATCTCTAAAATTTACAAACAAATATCAAAAACTTCTACTATCATTTTTGTAGGATAAATGAAAGTAACTAAACTGTATATAAACTTCTACTATTATATAAATTATAATCTGATCCGAACCACATCCAAAATAAACTGAATCAAATCTAACTCGAAAAATAATAGAACCCGAATGAGATTGATGAATAGTACCGAAAATCTAAATCAACTAAAGCGAATCTGATGGAACCTGAACGCTCAGGTCTATCTCGGCGTACATATCTTTTCTGTTCCTATTTGGTTTGTTGGGATTAGAGGCTATCAGCTTGTTCGTGCTTGATCGTCTTACCTCAATGTGAAAATTACTTTTCTTCCATATTTCTATCCGTTTTCCAAATTAATCATGCAGGATGAATATAATTTATAAGAACTAGGTGATTTTCCCGTGCTCATGCACGGGTAAGAATATTCATAAAATAAAATTTTATGATAATTGATTGATATTTAGTTTTAGTTTTTAATAAATTTATGTGTATAATTCATATTAATAAATATTATATTATTATAATTATACATATGACTTTGGATATATTATTATCGGTTTAATTATTTTTTTGATCAATAGTCGGTTTAGTTGTCAATTTGATATATTGCATATTATCTATTTTTTGAATTAAGCTATAATATTTTTTATTCTAAGTATAATAAAACTTTGATTAATTTTCTTATTTTCATTTCGGTTGGTTATTGTCTTAGATATGTAAATATATTCTTAGATATGTAAATATATTATAGTTAAATTATATATAACTTAATATATATTGTGCTTAAAATATAATAAATAATAAGCTGAAGTGTCTGATTCAACATTACATAAATGAATATAATGATAATATTTTGAAGTCTCATGCATATATAAAAATTCTACAAAAGAATTAAATTGTAATTGGTTAATATTTTCTTTATCTTTTTAATATGCTTTGAGTCAACCTCCAATTTATATGTATAAAATTAAATATATTATTATTATTATTCTTATTATTATTATTGTAGTTAGATGTTTCATTTTGGATATAAATTATTTAGTCAGAAAAATAAAAATAAATTAGATTCACTTAGATTTGTCGAGTCATGCATTTTTTGAGTATACTAAGTTAAATATATTTTTAAATTAAAATTGAAGTATAATTACCCTTTTTGATTTAAGTCAAATCAAATTAATTTTATTTATCGCTTAAATATACATTTATTTTCATAATATTTATTTACTCTATATTTTGGTTAATTTAAATCAAATTAGTTTATTTATTGCTTAAATATACATGTATTTTCATAATATTTATTAAATTATATGTTGATTTCTAAAGAATATTAGAAAATAAAGTGTAACTGATAAATTTTTGAATGTTCATGAAGATATATATTTTTATTATTTTGAAAATATATTTTATGTTATTTAAAAATATATATTAATGGGGGCATTGCTATTTTGTGAATTTTCCTTTTTAATAGAGTCATATTATGTACATATATTTTCGTTTTTAATTTGTTTTGAAATTTTAGAAATATTTCCTTTTTATTATATATGTTATTTGGAAAAAGGTAAAAAACAAAATAAATAAAAAAATTAATAATAATCCTAAATAAGAGTATCTATGTAATCAACCATCGCGATAGTTAACGGAAACGCGACAAATAGGAAACTGACTTTTCAAATAATATTATATAGATTCATTAGGGGTATCATAGTAATCAACCAACGTGAGAGTTAATGTGAGCGCGACACCTAAAAAAGTGACTTCTCAAATAATATTATAGAGATAAGTAAGATATTCCATATATAACATCTTGTTCTTTTATTCGAGACTAGGTGTGGACCCGTGCGTTGCACGGGTTTCTGTTTAAAATTTATGCAAAATGTAAAAAAGAAAAAAAAATTTGTAACTGTTGGATTTTTGCATATATTGCGTGAAATTTTTTTTAAAAATAAAAATTATTTTTTCACATAAGTTTTGGTTAGTATTTATGTTTCAATAATATATTTTTTTGTCGGCTATGTTTCAATAATCATAGTACATAAACAGCTATTAACAATGTTGAATTTAGGGATTAAAATAAAAATCTAAACCCAAAAATTTAAATTGAATATAACCCTGGAAAAATATGAATTAGAGTAAAATACAATAAATTAGAAAGTTGAATTAAGACAATCGAATCGGTGACAATATATGCACTTTGTATAATTTCTCTATCTTAAAAAAAATATAGTGAACAAAATTACATCTCTATATTTAGAGTAAAAATAGTCTTACTCTATATTTCTTTAATAACAAAATAAAAAATCTATTACAAAATCATATAATTAAGCAAATTTACATTTATATATCCAACACTTTTACCTTCTTTATATGTATTCACGTTTGGCTGTATTCATCTAAAGTATTACAATTCTCTTTGGTTTAATATTTTAACAGGAAAAATACTATTAAATATTTATAAGAAAAATATTTCGTAAATATTTTAATTTGTATAAAAATTTATCTTAAAATAATGTTTAGTGTTACTTATCTTAGACCATGTTTAAAAAAAAAAGAAATGCTATTGTTAAAATGCTATACAAATTAAAATAATAAAATAGAAGTTTATATATCCAACACTTTAACCTTCTTTATATGTATTCACGTTTGGGTATATTCATCTAAAGTATTACAATTCTCTTTGGTTTAATATTTGAACAGGAAAAATACTATTAAATATTTATAAGAAAAATATTTCGTAAATATTTTAATTTGTATAGAAATTTATCTTAAAATAATGTTTAGTGTTACTTATCTTAGACCATGTTTTAAAAAAAAAGAAATGCTATTGTTAAAATTTTATTTATATGGAAATATTATAAATTTTCTTTTTTAAGAATTTTTAAAACGGAAAATTGTCTTTTTAGATAATTTTTATATTCTTTTGGTTTAGGTTTTTTTAAACAAAAACTATTATTAACACATATCATAATCTTAAATATATAATTTTCATGTATCGCAGTCATATTAATTGGCAACTTTGGAAAACCAAGCTTGTAATTATCTTAAACCCATGTTTTAAAAAAGAAATACCATTGTTAAAATTGATTAATCATTGTTAAAATTTAAATTGATTTTTAAATGGATTTTATAATATTTTTAAATTGATTAAAGAAATACCATTGTTAACATTGATATGCAAATGTTTTTTTTACATTTATCATTCCATTAGGATTTAAGGAAAGGAAAATTAACACTAAATAAATCCTTTTGCAAATCTTTTTTTTTTTTGATAAAATAAATACCATTGTTTAAAAATTTATTTATACGGAAATATTAAAAACGTTTTTTGTATAAGAATTTGGAAAAAAAGGAAAGTTAACTTTTTAGAATATTTTTATATTCTTTTGGGTTAAGTTTTTTGTTTAAATAAAACATGTTTAACACATGTCATATCTTAAATATATAATTTCCATGTTTTATAATCATTTTATTTAATAAGTATAAAAAAAGAAACTATTATTAAATATAATTTATATGGAAATATAATTTTTACAATTTTTTTTTAAGATTGTTTAAAAAGGAAAACTAACATTTTAAAGTTTATGTTTAAGATTTTTGAAAAAGTAAAGCTAACTATAAAACTCTTTTGGTTTAAAAGAAAAATTGTTATTTAACACATGTCATAATCTTAAATATATAATCGCCATGTGTCGCGATCATGTTAATTAGTAACTTTGAAAACCAAGCTTTATATAATAAGATTTTATTTAATAACTATAAAAAAAGAAACTATTATTAAATATAATTTATATGGAAATATAATTTTTACAATTTTTGTTTAAGATTGTTTAAAAAGGAAAACTAACATTTTAAAGTTTATGTTTAAGATTTTTGAAAAAGTAAAACTAACTATAAAACTCTTTTGGTTTAAAAGAAAAATTGTTATTTAATACATGTCATAATCTTAAATATATAATCGCCATGTGTCGCGATCATGTTAATTAGTAACTTTGAAAACCAAGCTTTATATAATAAGATTTTATTTAATAACTATAAAAAAGAAACTATTATTAAATATAATTTATATGGAAATATAATTTTTACAATTTTTGTTTAAGATTGTTTAAAAAGGAAAACTAACATTTTAAAGTNTAATCTTAAATATATAATCGCCATGTGTCGCGATCATGTTAATTAGTAACTTTGAAAACCAAGCTTTATATAATAAGATTTTATTTAATAACTATAAAAAAGAAACTATTATTAAATATAATTTATATGGAAATATAATTTTTACAATTTTTGTTTAAGATTGTTTAAAAAGGAAAACTAACATTTTAAAGTTTATGTTCAAGATTTTTGAAAAAGTAAAACTAACTATAAAACTCTTTTGGTTTAAAAGAAAAATTGTTATTTAATACATGTCATAATCTTAAATATATAATCGCCATGTGTCGCGATCATGTTAATTAGTAACTTTGAAAACCAAGCTTTATATAATAAGATTCTACAAATTGATTTGTTTCCACTGAAATTAAATTTTGTGATCTTGATCTTCAGTTTTTGAAATTTCTTTAAACAATCTATTATATTAAAAGAGAAGTCATGACTCACTTCATGTGTGATTTTTTTAGTTTAGACCATCATTAGAAATTTCAATTTTACATACATAATATCATTATAATATCTTTTCATATCTTTAATTTTTATTTGAAATAAAAATAAATAGTTTTAAGAAAATTCTAACAAAATATTTTAGAATCTTTTCAAGATATCGTTTCAAAAATTATTTGATTAAAATTTTAATTATCATAAAATATAATTAATATTTTAATTCATTCTTTATTATATAAAAAAAACAAAAATTACGTAAAATACTTTTAAAAATATCCCAATATTTTGTTAAGGTGTTATGTAGGTCCAACTTAATTTATTTTTTACATATATTTCAAATTTAGAAATAAAATAAAATATATAAATTAGTAATGTTACATAATAATGTTTTTTAAAATTACAAAAATACAAATTTATAAATTTTATATTAATAATATTATATGTCACATAAATATTATTATAAAATTAGATAGTATACATAATCAAATTTGATTTATTGATAAATTTCACTCTCTCTGTTTCTTAATATATGATGTTTTGAATCATTGCACAAAGATTAAGAAATTTACATCTTTTACAAAGGTATTTTTAAAGATATAACTTTAAAATCATTCAGCCAATTATTAAAAAAACAATAAAATTTTATCGGTTAAAACGTTTCCAATAAAGTTAAAAATAACCTTAAAACTTCAAAATATCCCTTAAATGTTCGAAACATCTTATATTTTGAAACAAAATAAATCTTTCAAAATATCATCTAATTTGAAAAGAAAAGAAATATTATATAATTTCAAATATTTTCATATTAAAATACTCGCACGGTTGTGCGGGTCGAAATCTAGTCTTATATTAAACGTTGATCAGTAAACCGATAAAAACTTTTAAACTGTAGCTGGTTAGATTTGGGTGTTATAGATATTTTTAGGAAAAATTAGTTTTTTTAAGCCAAATAGCTTTGTACATTGTCCTCTTAGGTTAATTTGATTCACTTATTGTCTCATTAGGCTAAATATTTTCTAAATGGCAATCATACCCTTAAATTATATAGTTTTAGTTATTAATTCGTAATTAGTTTAATTATAATTATAAAAAAATGAAATTTGTTTTTAATAAATATTAAAATATAATATTATTCTAAAAGGATAAAAAAATCTGCTCCCTTTGTAAACCTAATTGAAACTCGGAAACTCTCCGACGTCTTCAAGCTCCCGTCGTCTCTCTCTCTCTCCATCCTGACGTCTGTCTCTCTCTCTGGGTCCCTACCTCTCTTTGATTGAAAGCTCTTGACGTCTCCAAGCTCCCGACGTCTCTCTCTCTCTGCAAACATGGAGTTGCAGGCGGAGAAAGCAAAGTCATCAAAAGCTTCAGGAAGAACGGTACGAGAGAAAAGCAGAGCAGTAGGCGATCACGAAATCGATGAAATCATAAATGGTGATGATGATGATGTCGATGCATATTATTGACCAAGTAAGTCTACTAATCTCTATGTATGCAACATAAAAAAATTGGATCAAGCTGAGACTTTTAATAATTTTTAATTTAAATGTTTTGGTTGCAGGCAATGCTATGTTCTTCTCTACCACGACACAACTCTATGCTGAATCAAGTTGGATTCTACACACTAGGAATTTATGTAGTCAGGATCTTATATTTAGCGTTGAAGCAGTTATTAAGACAATTTCAAGCAGTTTAGAGAAAGAGTAAGGGAACATAAACATCTTTGATTCATTAACTTTGTTTGATCATTACATTAACAAAATCATTGCTCACAACAGATACAATACATTTCATTACAACCAACAATGGATACAAGCAGATAGATAAATAGATAGATGTGAGGAATGTGTGTATAAGGTTTAAAAAGCAAAGAGTCCTGAATATATTTGTTCAAGTTTCACGAGGGCCTTCAGAATTCTGAGTCTTTCTTAGGTTCCAGTGAAGACCATCGTGGATGCTTCTTAGGAAGTCACTAGTGGATTCGACTTGGCAAGCCGTTGAGACAGGCCACTGTGACATGCTACACACAAGTGTATCCCCTGCTTTAAGCTCTTTCCGGCCTTTCCCATCAAAACACCCACGCAGAGCGTTTGCTGTCCAATGGCACTTTCACTTTCAATGTCACGTGGTCCGGTAATATCAGTGAGCGGAAAGACAGAGAATGAGGACAGATAGGTGTGAACAAGATCCCAAGAACCTGCAAAACATTGTAAGTTTAGAACCAATTGTCTTTGATCTAAAGCACATGACTGTTGTGGAGATGAAGATCATATTATTACATGTGGATGTACCATTGACCCTCCAGCTGCAAGTGAATAGGCGGTGCTACCAGATGTTGTAGATAGTATTAGTCCGTCACCTTGGACACGTGTGACAAATATATCATCGCACAAGCATTCAAGGTTTGTGACACTGCAACCTGTGTCGTAGTGTTAAACTGACTGGACCGCTCAAAACCTTTCCAAGACATTTTTTGTATTCTTCACTGTCTGGGATCATTAAGAGTTAAATAAAAAGTTTCTAGTGACACATAAATTGATGCTGCAACATTTAACTGAAGCTACTTTATAAAGAAACTGTTAACAGAAAGATGAATGATCACTACAAGAAAACTAAGCATTTACTAGGAAACTTTACTAGGAAAATAATTCCTCGTAAAATTACTACGAGTTTACTTCGAGTTTACGAGGAAACCACGTTTCCTCGTAAGGTTCTCGTATACTTACGAGAAAACAGTTTCCTCGTAAAGTCGTAGTAACATTACTAGGACTTTACGAGGAAAAAAACGCGGGCATAGCTATTTCCTAGTAAAGCAGTTTCCTCGTAAAGTCCTAGTAATTGCTTACTACGAAATTAAGAGGAATGAGTTTTGTTACTACGAAATTAAGAGGAACTANCCTCGTAAGGTTCTCGTATACTTACGAGAAAACAGTTTCCTCGTAAAGTCGTAGTAACATTACTAGGACTTTACGAGGAAAAAAACGCGGGCATAGCTATTTCCTAGTAAAGCAGTTTCCTCGTAAAGTCCTAGTAATTGCTTACTACGAAATTAAGAGGAATGAGTTTTGTTACTACGAAATTAAGAGGAACTAGATAAAAATATCGAATTTAAATTTTGTACCTACTTTTCCTAGCAATTTCCTAGTAAATTCTCATATTCGAAAATTTCTATAAATACCACCATATGTGATTCATTTGAAACACACCAAACAAATAGAAAATACTCAATTCATAACTGAAAGGAGTTCACAGTCAACATAATAGTTTCTTATCAACTCGTCATAGCTTTTCCTCAAAGAAATAGCTTGGGGCTTTTCTTCAGGTAGATAGTTCGAGGAAAGCTATGTGGGGTTGATAAAAACCGTTCCGATGACTGTATACTTCTTTTAGTTTTTTAAAAAATATTTGTGATTTGGGGTTTAGGAAGATGTATAGGTATAAGTTATGGAAGTTGGTTTAGGTTTAGGGTTTAGGTTTAAGGTTAGGGTTTAGGGAATTTAGATTAGGTGGTTAGTTTAGGGAACTTATATTAGGTTGTTTAGTTTTGAAAATTTGGGGTTTAGGTGTAGAAGAGGTTAGGAGTTTGGTTGTAGAAGAGGTTTTAAGTTAAGGAAGTTGTGGTTTGGGGTTTGGGGTTTCGAGTTTAGGGATTTACAAACCCTTTCCTCGTAAAGCCCTAGTAAGAGAAAACGCGGGCATAGTTGTTTCCTCGTAAAGTCATACTAATAACATTATTAGGACTTTACGAGGAAAAAACGCGGGCATAGCTATTTCCTAGTAAAGCAGTTTCCTCGTAAAGTCCTAGTAATGGTATTACTAGGACTTTACGAGGAAATAAAAACACGGGCATAGCTATTTCCTCGTAAAGACCTAGTAATGTTACTAGGGCCTTACGAGGAAACAAAATTCCTTATATAAACTCGAGCAATCCGATTTCTCATTTGTAGTAAGCTTCTCTCTGAATTCTCTTAAGGTTCTCTCCATTTCCTACTTAGGTGGTTAGATTAGAGAATTTAGATTAGGTGGTTAGATTAGGGAATTTAGATTAGGTGGTTAGTTTAGGGAATTTAGATTAGGTGGTTAGTTTAGGGAATTTAGATTAGGTGGTTAGTTTAGGGAATTTAGATTAGGTTGATTTAATTTTTTTAACTGTTTTTTTTTAAATGATACTAGTATATTAATGATACTAGTTGTCGAGCCGGGATGACGACTTCGTTCGTCAATTTAACGAGCAACATCCGTAGTTTAGTTTTTTTCTCTTTAATTGTATATGAATTTAAAACTTAAATATTTAGTTATTTATAAAATATTTTGTTATTTTTTTTTATTTATAATTTGGATTCTTTAATTTTTTTAAAATATATTATTTATTATTATTTTTAATTATTTTTTTAATAGGGAAAAATATTTCAAAGTAAATTCCTAGTAAAGCATTACTAGGAAATTACGAGGAAAGTGGAAAACATTTCGAAGTAAATTCCTCTTAAACCTTTACTAGGAAATTACGAGGAAAGTGGTTACTAGGAAATTACGAGGAAAGTGGTTACTAGGAAATTACGAGGAAAGTGGTTACTACGACTTTACGAGGAAAATGGCTTTACGATGAACGATTCACGACAAAGCACGTTTCCTCGTAATTTCCTAGTAAAGGGTTCTTTATTAGGAAATTACGAGGCAAAGCCGTCCTAGTAAAACTTGTGTTTTCTTGTAGTGGATACGGAAAGGAGTCATGAATCCCAGAGATCCCATGGAAAATGGAACTATTGGAGGCACTGGTCCTTTAAACCTCGACGCTGCCTGTAAAATGTTCAGTGTTAGATTGTGTCTCTGTGTGTGTTTATACACACACAAAAAAAAAACAGGACACATATGAGTGAGATTGACATTACCCATAGAACAGTACTATCCCCACCAAGAGTTATAACAAGGTCAACCTTTGGGTATAGAAGTGAATTTTCTTTGTCTCCATAAACAAATGATCAATGAAGCTTTTCATATACATCAGACATTAAAAATATTGAATGTAGAATATCATTATCATACCATCTCCCCAAGTTTGTACAAAGTCAAAGGAACTTGAATCCAATAAAAGTTCTGATTTCACTTGTGGTTCCACATAAATATTTAGTTCTTTCTCCTCTCTCAACCATCTGAACTTTAAAAAAAATTGAATTTTAAATATGGAAACCGAATATTTCCTAATATATTCTTGCTATATTCTTGAATTCAGATTCTACTAAAGGTAGAACTGTGTAAAAAGATATGAAATCAGTTTCTACATGTATTAGAACGTTGTGAGAATGTAGATTCTGATTTCTACTCGTTTTAGATTTAAGTAAAAGTTTAGATTTCAATTTCTACTTTTATTAGAACTCTATGATAAACGTGGAATGTGTATTCCAAACTATTTTACATTCGTGTTATCTCCGTAGAAAACATATTCTGCAGTTCATAGAAATAGTGAAAAAAGTGGATTCCGTATTCTAATTCGTAGTATACAGATTCCAATTTCGGTAGAATAATATATGAAATTATTATTTACACATTTTTAAAACAAGAAAAAATATCACTATATAGATATAGGGATTTCATCATTATGTACTATTTTTTTTAAAAAAAATTTGCTTCATAAATCTATTTTTTTAAATAATTGCGGAATTAAAAAAAGGGCATTAAAGTCATTTCATCATTATGTACTATTTTTTTTAAAAAAAATTTGCTTCATAAATCTATTTTTTTAAATAATTGCGGAATTAAAAAAAGGGCATTAAAGTCAGAATTGGTACAAAATATATTTTAGACTAAATAGACAACGTCCAAACCTATTTGGTCTAAAAAACAGTTTCCCCTAGTTTTAGTTATCTCTTGTAAGAATCAAGCTGGGTTTGGTTTTGGAAAACAACCTTTTAAGTACTATGTTGTATTTTTCTCAAGTTATCCGAGTGTGGATTTTGAGGGTGATTGGTTGGAATGTAACTGTAAAAATTTAACTGTAAAAGTTGTATTGTAAGTGTATTGAATGTAGCTGTATATTTACTAAAGTAGATTTTTCTGCAGAGATTTTTGCTATAGTTATGATAACTGTAGCTATAAATTATTGGCTGTACTTTTGTAAAATAAAACATAATTGGATAAATTGTACTGTAGCTGTAAAAAAAAATCTTTTCTATATTAAAAATAAATATTTATTAAATTAATTTAAAATAAAATAAAATAAAAACAATCTAAAATAAAAGTCAAAGGAAAAACACCATCTAAATAATAATAATAAAATTCATCTACGAAAATTCCATAAATTCATTGCAATCTCATCTCGAAAACCTTTCATGTATTGTTGAGAATCGACAATTTGTTGAATATACTAAATACATGGCTCTAAATTATTAGTTTATGATCAAGTATTATCATTGTTTTCAATATATTAAACATTTGACTTATATATATACACGTATGTATGTCGTATGAAAAAGAGCACGTACTTTTCTTCTTCCTTTTTTCAGTTATGAGATTATTTTTTCTACAGCCCAAATAATAAAGATGTAGAATTTTTGTCTAAAACAAGTAGAAAAATTAAAGTTCTATCTTTTTGCTGTATCTTAAAAAAATAAAGCTACATTCTCATTGGCAAAAGGTTTTTAAATTTTTCTGTTGATTTTAATTTTGAAAAAAGTTACAACATGATTGGTAAGAATTAGTGATTTAAAAAAAAATAAAGCTAAAGTGCTAAGTTAAATTTCTATCTTTTTTGTTGTGTCTTACAAAAATAAAGCTACATTGTTAGCTTATGTAGCAATACTAATCAATTTTAAAAATCATCCACATACTAAATGTTTTCTCTATTTTTAGCATGTTATAATTAGATATATTTAATAATTTGTTTAGCAGTTTTTATAAACATAAAAATATCATTATAAAATGATATTTATAGTCCTATAAAACTTAAAAGTTTTTTAATGTATGATATGAGATTTTTCTCATCATCTTGTAAACTTTTTCTTAGATTATTTTATTACTCTTTACTCTTTTTTTTTGTATTATTTCTATTGTGTAAATTTGTTAGGTAAAATTTTTCACTTCAATATACAAAATCTTGAGTTGAAAAGCAAGCGGGCTATAAATAAGAAAGGAGCCTAGAATAAAAGAGCCGAATTGAACATTTCAATTGGGCCAAATATTGAAATCTAAACTGATCTTAACCCGACCCATAACACATCACCCGGTTACGCGACCACATATATTATCTTCGCTTCTTTAACCTTCTTCCCTCGACCAACCTATATGAACGAGCCGTCGCCGCAAATTGTAAAATATCCCATCGCAGAGAGATGTCAGGCTTAGCATGTAATTCGTGTAACAAGGAGTTCGAAGACGACTCTGACCAAAAGCTCCATTACAAGTCCGAGTGGCACCGTTACAATCTCAAGCGCAAGGTCAGTAGCTTTCGTTAGGGTTTTTATATTTTTGTTAAATGAATTTGTTATGTAATGAAATGACAAGAAATACTTTTAGATGTTCTTATGTTGTTGTTTATGTCGGAAAATGATTAGATCGCTGGTGTTCCTGGAGTTACAGAAGCTTTGTTTGAAGCTAGACAAGCTGCGATTGCTCAGGAGAAGATCAAATCTAAAGAAGCACCTCTGCTTTACACTTGTGGCGTCTGTGACAAATCTTACAGAAGCTCCAAAGCTCATGAGCAGCATCTCAAGTCGAAGAGCCACGTTCTGAAGGCTTCAAGCAACGGAGAGGAGGATAAAGCCATCATTAAGCAGCTTCCTCCTCCTCGCCGTGTTGAGAAGAAGGACCTTGCTAAGCTTAAGGGTTCGATTGAGGAAGAGAGTGAAGAGAGTGAGGATGAATGGGTTGAGGTTGATTCTGACGAGGATTTGGAGGAGGGTGAAGAAGATATGGATGAGGATGATGAGGAGGGTGAAGCTGAAGGTGAAGATATGGATGAGGATGATGATTTTGAGTTGGATCCGACTTGCTGTTTGATGTGTGATAAGAAGCATAAGACGATAGAGAAGTGTATGGTTCATATGCATAAGTTCCATGGGTTCTTCATTCCTGATATTGAGTACCTCAAGGATCCTAAAGGGTTTCTAACTTACGTTGGTTTAAAGGTATGTAGTCTTTTTTGTCTCATCACTTTTATGTTCAGAGAGTTAAAGGTTTTTTTTCTCTCTTACAGGTCAAGAGAGACTTCATTTGTTTGTACTGCAATGAACTGTGCCATCCATTTAGCAGTTTGGAAGCTGTTAGAAAGCATATGGAAGCCAAGGGTCACTGCAAAGTGCATTACGGTGATGGTGGTGATGAAGAAGATGCAGAGCTAGAAGAGTTCTATGACTACAGTAGCAGGTTATTACTTTTCCTCTGCTATCTTATTACCACTGAATCTTGCGTAATTATTGTTTATATTGAATGTTTTGTTTGTATAGTTACGCCAATGAAGGCGAAAACCAGATGGTTGTAGCTGGTGAATCAGCTAATACCGTGGAGCTTTTCGGTGGGTCTGAGCTTGTGATCACCAAGAGAGGGGAGAACAAAGTAACGTCTCGGACTCTTGGGTCTCGAGAGTTTATGCGCTACTACAAACAGAAGCCACCACCATCTTCTCAGAAACACATCACCAACTCTCTAGCTATGAGGTTTGTCTATGTCTTTGACTCCATCGGAGATCATCTCTTGTTACTATGTTTGCAGAATCTGACATGGGATGGATGTTAAATAAAAACGCAGGTACAAGAGCATGGGTTTGGCAACGGTGCAGTCGAAGGAGGATATAGTGAGGATGAAGGTGATGAGAGAGATGAACAAGAGAGGAGCTAGGATGAGTGTTAGGCTCGGAATGAAGAGCAACGTCATCAGAAACCTGCCCAACAATGTCACGTACTAGTAGTGTGCTGTTTGATTTCTGTAACGCTGGTTTATTGAAACATGTGTTAGGTGAGTGAAGTCCAGAACCTATATGAGATAATTAGCTTTGTATGCTTTCAAAGGTCTCTTTTGGGCCGATTTTGTCTTAATTTCTGTTTTATTTTTCTTACGACATTTACTTGAAGACTTGAATGGTAAATGACATAAAAGATGCGTGCCACTAAACAATAACAAATTTTAATTTACATTCAACCAGTAATCAATTATAATTATTTAAAAACTTAAATCATTACTTATTTAGAAATGTTTTTGTCTAAACAATTTTCTCTTAACAAGTCATATTTATTTAATTATTTTTAAAACAAGAAAATCAAAAGTATAATGGAGAAAGGGCAGCCACCAGCGAAGAAGCCCTAATAGGCGGGAAGCTGAATCGAAACTGGCGGGAAAAATAGTATTTCAACCCCTCTCTCTTGTTAAAGTCCTAACCATTTTATTCATCTTCCCCGATCGCTTCCCTTAGCTTCCGTCTCTCCTTGTATATTCGAAGATGTTCTCCAGCAGTCAATTCGAGCCCAATTCCGCTTTCTCCGGCGGCGGATTCATGTCCTCTCAGCCTTCTCAGCCCTACGAATCATCTCCCTCCTCCTCCACTACCAAAGTCCGCTTTTACTGATTTTTGCCCTTGATTTCTTCGATTCATGGATGCTAAAATCCGATTTGGCTATGTATTTCAGGGACTAGTTCCAGTGACGGTGAAGCAAATCACCGAATCTTCACAGTCCGGTGGTGAAAAATCAGGAATCGTCATCAATGGAATCGAAATTACAAACGTACACTCTCTCTCTCTCTCTAAAACCCCAATTTTCAGATCTCTCCGTTTGTAATAAAAAGCTTATTCAGTTGTGGTTATGTTTTGGTGTTTGTACAGGTGTCACTCGTTGGGTTGGTGTGTGAGAAAGACGTCTCTAAAGTCACTGAAGTTAGATTCACTCTTGATGATGGCACTGGTCGTATCGACTGTAAAAGATGGTAAACCATAAAACAATGTTTTAGGTGTTAAGTGAAACAAAGTGAAACATAGAGAATGTTTGTAATTGTGGGGGGGTTGTGTCTTTTTTGTTATTTAGGGTGAATGAAAGTTTCGACGCTAGAGAAATGGAGTCTGTTCTGTGAGTATACTATCTTTATGTCTCTTCTTTTGTCTCTTGTGTTGTTGTTGTTTTTTTTTCTAATGGGTTTAAGCTTTGTGAAACAGAGATGGAACCTATGTGCGTCTCAATGGTCATTTGAAGACTTTCCAGGGGAATAAGCAGCTTCTTGTTTTCTCTGTCAGGTTTGTTTGATTTTTTTTTTCGCATTGGCTATAGGTTTTTGGTAACTAGTTAAATTATCTAGATATATTGGTTTGTTGATGCAGACCTATTGTGGATTTCAACGAGGTGACCTTTCACTATATTGAGTGTATACACTTCTATTCCAAGAACTCTGAATCACAGGTAAGTGAAAATGGTACATAGCAATATGATTAACTCTGTTTTTGTTGAAAGTTCACAATTCATTTTGTTTGATATGTGTGGTTTCTCAGTTGGGACAGCAAGTTGGTGATGTCACTCAATCCCATGCGGTGAACTCATCGGTTAACACAAACCAGCCAACCACATTGAACCCTGTAAGATGAGATATCAAACCTTTTTTTTTCTACATAACTTACTGATACATGTGGTTAAAATTTTTAATCTGCTTTGTTTAAATTTTGAAACCTAATATGCGTTGCTCTTGTCGTAGGTGATGTCCTCTCAAAACAATGATGGAAATGGGCGCAAGAACTTGGATGATATGATTCTGGACTATCTAAAGCAACCTGCTTGCACGTGAGTTTCAGTTTTGAGTTTGCTTCACCTGTTGCAACCAAGTAAAGTTGTGTCTGGTAATTGATGTTATATTGTTTTAATGCAGTGCAAGACAACAGGGGATACACGTGGATGAAATTGCCCAGCAGTTGAAGGTTCCTAAGAACAAGCTAGAGTAATGCCTCTTTCTTTTTACTTATAGTCTCCATCTCTACACTTAAATAGTTCTTGATTTTGTAATGAGTTGGCTTTATGTTTCTGGTGTCTCTGAACAGGGGTGTTATACAGTCACTAGAAGGGGATGGTCTTATATACTCAACAATTGATGAGTATCACTTCAAGCATGTCGAGCTTTGATCAATCTAAGAGTAATCAAGACAGAGTTTAAATTCAGTAGGGAAGAGTTGCTTTTTTATTTTATTTTCATCACAATCTAGTATCATTCTGCAACTACTTTAGCTACGTACCTGCCTGCTTAATGGATTGATTATTCCCATCTTGTTCTTGGTTTAGTTTTCCATTTTCTTTGTTGTTCCATATTCTCAAGCCTGCATTATGTTATTAGGTTAGTATTTCGGCTTCAGCCTAGTTCGCATACGATTAAGTAAAACCAGAAACAAGGCAAGGCTTGTTAGTAAAGTTGATAATGCAATGAATTTAAGAGGGGAATTAACGCGAACTAATTTTATTAATATCTACTGCATTATACATTACATTGTTGGCAACAAAAAATAGTAACGATGTCGATACATAATAAACCAATGAGAAACCCTAATTAACCTAGAAAAAACAAATCACATACATAAGTGATTTAAACCCTAAACAGACTTTCACAAACGGATTAATAAAAATCATTACTTGAAGAAACCAAACCCTAGTTTAAGCCTCTGTTAACTTCTCCAAAGCTTTACTGGGGTTGTTGTTGGTTAAAGGGTTTGTGGATTGGCGACAGAGAGGGCAAGAGTCATGTCGATTCAACCACTTGATCAAGCAATCTTCATGAAACACATGTGAGCAATCAGGTGGTTGGCATAGGGCCTGTTCCGACTCCTCCTCCAACATGTCCTCTAGACAGACCGCACAAGTTCCTTCTACTTTTGTTGTCTGAGGAGCAGAATTACAAGGCACGACGATATACTCTTTTCTTTGTAAATTTTACGAATACCGTGATCAACAAGGGTCCTTGTGACAAGTCTTTTGTTCTTCCGGATGATTCGAGAACAATCCGATCGGTGATAAGTCGAGACAAGACAGGGTCGTTGAAGCGGCTCTTGATTTGCTGATGAACGTTGGTTGGTGTAAAGTCTTGGAGCCTGAGAAGGGATAGCGTGTCGGGAGAAGAAGAATCATCGGTGTAAGAGCCGAGACTTGTGATATTACCATCGTCATTCTCGTCTACGAAAAATTCTTCGATCACCCAACTTTGACTAATCAAGACAGAGTTTAAAAACCCGAAGGACAGACCCTGAGGCGTTGCGTGTACACTGATTTCCACCTTGAGTGATTTTGTTTCCATCTTCTTCTTCCTTGGAAACTCAACAACACAAGAGAGACGTACGAGAGAGAAATAGATTGTGTCGCAACAGCTAGAGAGGGAGAGAGAGAGTCTGTTGTGAAATAAGAAAGTTGAGATGATATGTTGGTACTTGGATGATTGCTGTTTGTATTTCCTTTTTACGTCCCTTATTTCCTTTTCTTGATTTTTTATAACAGTCATTTAAATTAATGCTGCATTTCCTTTTTTCGTGTTCATTATCTCCTTTTCTTGATTGTACCCGTTAGGATGTGGGTGACCCAACCGGTGGTTTAAACAAATTTTTTTTTTTGTAAAAGTGGTTTAAACAGATTAAACGTTAATGTCCCTGAGATCATGTTAATCATTCAATTTTTGTGTTTATGAAGAGATGATGACATGAAAGTGTACTGCACCAACGTTTTGTAATTTTTTTGGAACACACACCAAGGTTTTGTATATTTGTCAATGTCTGGTTCTTAGCACTCAGCTGTAGAATAGTGTCTTCGGTTCATATGTAATGTAATTGACCTATAAAATGCAGAACGCTGATGGTGGGGACTATGCCCGAACCAGATGAGACTCATTCCCTTTTGTTATCTTCAACAATCTTTTTTTTTTCTATCTTCAACAATCTTAACAAGTTAATAGTTGTATCTAAGTTGCGTAATTGGTTTTCATTGTGTTTTCTTTTTTTACACAAACTAGGGAACAATGAATTATTATAAGACGAGAATTAAAACAATGTTTTTTTTCCAATAAAAATCATACTTTTGCGAACAAAAAATAGTAATGAGATCATTACAACAAATGAGAATGGAAACCCTAACTGAGACAAACATTGAGCAAACCATAAACATTAAAGAAACCCTAATTAGACTTCCAAACACACGGATCATTACTGAAGAAACCCTAGTTAAGCCTCTGTTAACTTCTCCAAAGCTTCACTCTGTTTGTTGGTTAAAGGGTTTGTGGATTGGCGACAGAGAGGACAAGAGTCATGTTGATCCAACCAATGGGTTAAGCAATCTTCATGAAACATGTGCACACATCCAGGCGGTTGGCATAGGACTTCTTGTTCAGACATCTCCTCTAGACAAACCGCACAAGATCCTTCTACTTTCTCTGTCCAAGGAGCAGAATTACAAGGCACGGTGATGTACTCTTTCTTTGTAAATTTGACGAATACCGTGATCAACAAGGCTCCCTGTGGCAAATCTTTCCGTTGAGATTCGAGAACAATCCGATTGGTGATAAGTCGGGACAAGACAGGGTCGTTGAAGCGGGTCTTGATTTGTTGATGAACTGTGGTTGGTCCAAAGTCTTTGAACTGGAGAAGAGATAGTTGGGCACGAAAAGAAGAATCGTTGTAAGAACCAAGACTCGTGATGTTACCATCGTCACTCTCGTCTACGAGATACTCTTCGATTTCTCGACTTTGACTGATCAAGACAGAGTTTAAAAACCCTAAAGACAGACCTTGAGAAGTTACCTGTGCACTGATTTCTACTTTAGTATTCATCTTGTTGAAATTCAACAACACAACAAAGTCGGATATGAGTCGTTAGGTTTAATGTCGTAACAGATTATGTTTATGAATGAATGAGGATTGATGAATACGTCAATGCCAATGTTCACTTTCCATTTTTTTTTTACTCTCTTATTATTTCCTTTTCCTGCGAAATATTGTAACGGTCATTTGATTTGATTTTGTACTTAATTCTATTCGTATTTGGTAACAGTCAGGTTTCTTTGTTTCCCTTTTTTAATTGTACCGGTGCTTTAACCAAATTAAAATACTATTGTTAATTGGTTTAAGATGTTTTGTGCCTTTATGGTTTTCTTTTAATGTTTTTTTCTCGTAATCCATTTAGTTGTTGGGCTATTAATATTTGCTATCAAATCCTAGATAGATCAACTCAAATCTGAAGAGTAATTAAATTAAATGAAAACAAACAATTAATTTTTCTTTCATAAAAAATAAAGAAATTATAATGTGATTGTTGCGGAATAATCAAATGATTAAAATACCAATTTTGCTAAATTGTTGTTTATGAGCATGTACTTCTTCTCTACTTCAATATCCCTTTAGACTTTATATCACATCGTTTTTTATTATTGTGTAAATTATTCAAAAATAAGTTTTACATCAAGTGCCATTAGTACTTGAGAGAAGCTGAAAACATAGGATAAAGCATAAAACAGAAGTTTAAGCCTTGTGGCAAACCAAACTCGATTAGATCATCAAGGTTAATATGTTCATGATGAGTGATGACTGATGCCAAAGTATAACCCATACATTGTAATATTAGGAGTTGGCTTGTAAATGTCTTTTTTTTTTTGTCAACTGTATTAGATGTCTCTAAAATACATATTCAAAAATTCCTTTCACAATAAACAAAAACAAGAATATTAGTCAATAAAATAAACAAAAAATTAAATGAAATTAAAAAATAATTTTTTTTTTCACAGAACATATTTTCACTGCTAAAATTTGTATTTTCACTGCTAAATCTCGTGTGATTCTTTTTAGGTTTCTGTTTTTCTTGAGTAAAAGAATTGTGTTTGTGCTGTTTATTTGTTAGGTATTGAGTTTTATCCCCTTCGTTTATTTTTCTCAATGAATAAAAAATGAATGATCGACACAAACAAGACTGAAGAAAATGTCCTTTGTTGATAGGAAAACTCTACTAATAAATAATAATATATTGTATCAAATCTTCGACCACTGAAACTTCCTCTAATCAAATTCACAAGAGAAGACCAAATTGAAGAACAAGTATCACTAAACCATGTTAATGACTAATCACTAATTATCAACTCCACCCTCATCATCATCACCTTCTTGCAAACTACTAAGACAGAAACAACTTTTGGTCTGAGCCATCAAATCTCTCTTATTTTTCATCAAGATATTCCTCACAGTTTGATCATCACCTTCATTTTCCCCATAGTCTTGATCATCATTATGATGATTCACTTCATTGTGTTCTTGGACTGCAAATAACGACATAGAATTAGGGTTTTGCCAAGAATAAATACTCGAAACTGACATGGATCTTTCTCTACTCCTCAGCTTATTAGCAATAATCAATCTCCTCCTCTTGTTGAATGGATTCTCTCCTTTCTCAAGATCTTTTGCGTTGTTATTCATTTGCTCCATTAAGTTCCCAAAAGATTTCGATTTCCCTACGTAATGGTTTGATAATCCTCTCCTGAACAAACAAACAACCAAAACAAACCTTCAGTGTTCAACCAATTAAAAACTACATGTTTCCCTCCAATATTCAATAGGTGAAACTCTAAATCATATATAAAAGCTCAGTGTTTAAAGTTCTAAAAATAAAAACACATAAGTCAAAAAGGTTAAAGACAAAATATAAAACATACTTAATCGGCAGAGAGTCTTCTAAAGAGGAACAAAACGAAACAAGTGTTCCTCCTCCTCCTCCTCTCTGGACTGAAACGGCGTCGTCTTCTTCTTCCTCCTCGTTTTCGCTGTTCTCTCCGATCGACGATGAACTATCCTCCGACGATTCCTCCGGCGATTTTCTATTCACCCTTAATCCGATCCGACTAGCAAGTCCGATCTGCGATCCACCATCCGCCGAAAACAGAGACGCCGCCGGTACGGACTTATCCTGCGCCGAGACACCGGTCCGATCTCTAACGCACGCCGCCACGCCGATTCCAAAGGAAGAGCCAACCATGACCTCCATCTAATCTTTCTATTTTTTCCTCCTGATACGAAATCTAGGCCTTGTATACAACCGACGGGATCAGTTTATCATCAATCGCCGGCGAAGCGCAGGCTAAGAGCTTTAAACGGCGCAGGTTAGGGGAAATTTTCTCTAGAAAAATGGTATACAGATGCGGAAATGATCAATTCTTATAATATTTATAATGACAAATATCGTATAAAATATTTTTGAAATGTTGTATGTAGAAAAGAGAGAAGATGGAATTGGTATTTTTTTTATTCTATGAGTCCTTTATATAAGTTTACAATGACTTGAGAACAAGTTTTATTTGGAGTAGTGAACAAGTAAATCTAAAAAAATTTTGAATAGATAAGAATTAATATTTATAACATTACCTTTGATGTTTATTATAACACTTATAACAAAGTATTTCAAAATATCATAGATGCCATCTTGTTAAAAATCTTACCAAAAAATTATATGGGAAAAATATAGTTTATGAGAAAAAAAGTGTAGGCATAATGACTTTTTTTTTTTTGTGTACCTACATCAAAATCTTTGAGATGATGCAATTCAATAAGTTGAACTAATTTATTGAAAGTGGCACTGAGTACGACTTAGTAAATAAGTTAGTCAAAACTATCACTTAAACGAATATGTAGGATGTTGATATCGTTATTTTTTTATAGTGTCTTGTATGATTTGATCTTTTTCTTAGATTCTTTTTATCACAAAATTTTTAGAATATCAATAGACTTTTCATCTCTAAAATGTAACATTCTTTTTGGATGTCTATCATTTGTGTATTTTTTGTTACCTTATTAAAATTTTATCAAGGAAAATTTTAATGGGATAATAAACATGATAAAAAAACGTATAATCACACACATTATCATATTTTTTTCACCAGGAAATAATATCTTTAAAATATGCATTACATTCAAATATATATATATATATATATATATATATATATATATATATATATATATATATATATATATATATATCTTTTGAGAATTGAGCTTTAAACATGATAAACTATTTTCTTATATCTTTAGACTTTTAGTCTTCAATTCTCTTTTGACATAGACAATAATGTTTTGGTTTATTTGCACTTCTAGTCAAATATCTTACTTACAATTGTCTAACTATTCGTTTTGTACATCTACTCTATTAAAATATAGTCATTCTTTTTATCTACTGATACAAGTTGTCATTTAAATTTGGACTCTTTCTAGAGTGTTACAAATAATACAAGTTATATAGTTGATTGAATCGCATTACTTAAATTAAACCGACGGTTATTTATGGAATAAAGTTTTGGGCTTACTTTTGTTTTTATGACATTTAATTGTTTGGTTTTTGGGCTTAGTATTAAAGAAAAACTCCAAAAACATTAAATAAACTTTCCACCTTAATGGATCAAAAATCAATTACTATTTTCAGGCCCACAAATATTTAATATTTTCAACAAAACAAAATTATCTATTACTAATCACTTATTTAAATCATGTACTTTAAAACATGTTAATATTTTTTAGCCCGAAAATATTTAATATTTTCAACAAAACAAAATTATCTATTATTAATCACTTATTTAAATCATGTACTTTAAAACATATTAATTTTGTTGTTTTAAATAACAACCACTCTACCTTGATATATTTTAATGGTAACTTTTAAATAATTTATTGTTTATTTTTCTTAAATAATTTACAGATTTTTAAAAAATGTAAAGCAAAACCAAAAACCAAATCTAAAAACTAAAATCCAAAACCAAAAGCTGAAAACGCAGGTTATATTTTTTGCTTTTTTATTTACAAAATAAACTATTTCAAAAATTTTAGAAAATTATTTTGTCATCTTTTCAGTTTTAAATTACATGTTCGATTAATTGAGATTTGTTTGTTAGTAATATTAATTCAAACTAACTCAGCGGGTCTAAATTTTAAAAAACCAAACCAAAAGCTGAAAATCAAAAATAGAAACTTAAAAACTAAAAACCAAAAACCAAAATTTAAAACAAAATGTAAAATTAAAAACTAATGAAAAACAACTATCACCACAAAATTTTGGTAAACTAATTTTATACCAAAACATTCTTTAAATTAAGACAAAACCCAATTATATAAATTTTTAATCATAATTGACCCAAAAGGTATTTAATATTTTTAACAAAACAAAATTATCTATTATTAATCATTTATTTAAATCATGTATTTTAAAACATGTTAATATATTTTTTATTTTAAATAACAATCACTTTGTTTTGATAAATTTCAATTGTAACTTTTAAATAATTTATTGTTTTATTTTTCTCAAATAATTTACTGATTAAAAAATGTAAAACAAAACCAAAAACCAAATCTAAAAACTAAAATCAAAAACCAAAAGCTGAAAACACATGTTATATTTTTTTGCTTTGTTTATTTACAAAATAAACTATTTCAATTTTTTTTAAAATTTGTTATCATCTTTTCAGTTTTAAATTAGATGTTCGATTATTTGAGATTTGTTTGTTGCTAATATTAGTTCAAACTAACTCAGCGGGTTTAAAAATTAAAAACCTAAACCAAAAACTGAAAATGAAAAGTATAAACTTAAAAATTAAAAACCAAAAACCAAAATCTAAAATAAAAACTGAAACTTAAAACTAATGAAAAACAATCATCACCACAAAACTTGGTGAGCTGATTTTATATCAAAGTATTCTTTAAATTAAAACCAAACCCAATTATATAAATGTTGATTGAATCTCATTACTTAAATTAAACCGACGGTTATTTATGGAATAAAGTTTTGGGCTTACTTTTGTTTTTATGACATTTAATTGTTTGGTTTTTGGACTTAGTATTAAAGAAAAACTCCAAAAAACATTAAATAAACTTTCCACCTTAATGGATCAAAAATCAATTACTATTTTCAGGCCCACAAATATTTAATATTTTCAACAAAACAAAATTATCTATTACTAATCACTTATTTAAATCATGTACTTTAAAACATGTTAATATTTTTTAGCCCAAAAATATTTAATATTTTCAACAAAACAAAATTATCTATTATTAATCACTTATTTAAATCATGTACTTTAAAACATATTAATTTTTTTTGTTTTAAATAACAACCACTCTACCTTGATATATTTTAATGGTAACTTTTAAATAATTTATTGTTTATTTTTCTTAAATAATTTACAGATTTTTAAAAAATGTAAAGCAAAACCAAAAACCAAATCTAAAAACTAAAATCCAAAACCAAAAGCTGAAAACGCAGGTTATATTTTTTGCCTTTTTATTTACAAAATAAACTATTTCAAAAATTTTAGAAAATTATTTTGTCATCTTTTCAGTTTTAAATTACATGTTCGATTAATTGAGATTTGTTTGTTGGTAATATTAGTTCAAACTAACTCAGCGGGTCTAAATTTTTAAAAACCAAACCAAAAGCTGAAAAATCAAAAATAGAAACTTAAAAACTAAAAACCAAAAACCAAAATTTAAAACAAAATGTAAAAATAAAAACTAATGAAAAACAACTATCACCACAAATTTTGGTAAACTAATTTTATACCAAAACATTCTTTAAATTAAGACAAAACCCAATTATATAAAATTTTAATCATAATTGACCCAAAAGGTATTTAATATTTTTAACAAAACAAAATTATCTATTATTAATAATTTATTTAAATCATGTATTTTAAAACGTGTTAATATATTTTTTATTTTAAATAACAATCACTTTGTTTTGATAAATTTCAATTGTAACTTTTAAATAATTTATTGTTTTATTTTTCTCAAATAATTTACTGATTAAAAAATGTAAAACAAAACCAAAAACCAAATCTAAAAACTAAAATCAAAAACCAAAAGCTGAAAATACATGTTATATTTTTTGCTTTGTTTATTTACAAAATAAACTATTTCAATTTTTTTTTAAATTTGTTATCATCTTTTCAGTTTTAAATTAGATGTTCGATTATTTGAGATTTGTTTGTTGGTAATATTAGTTCAAACTAACTCAGCGGGTTTAAAAATTAAAAACCTAAACCAAAAACTGAAAATGAAAAGTATAAAATTAAAAATTAAAAACCAAAAACCAAAATCTAAAATAAAAACTGAAACTTGAAACTAATGAAAAACAATCATCACCACAAATTTTGGTGAGCTGATTTTATATCAAAGTATTCTTTAAATTAAAACCAAACCCAATTATATAAATTTTTAATCATAAAAAATTTCCGCGCTTAGAAGCGCGGGTCAAAATCTAGTATGACTCTTACTATAGAGTTACTTTTACGACTCTTTTTATTGTCATATATAATCACAGTTTTTCATCACATAAATTATAGTATTTTTCTCAAATAACACCTTAAATATAGTACCTGAACCAAACACATATGAACATCTTAATATAAGAATCTTTAAAATAATATTTATTTTTAAATATTAAATTTGGAATACATAAACACATTTCTTTTAAAATATAATATTCTATAACTCTTTAGAAGTTTTGACTATATTCAAATCAATTATTCTATTGATCAATAATTTAGGGATAAATACAAATTGTGCATTAAATTTCTAATATTTTATATATCCATAAATATATTTTGATCGAATAACTAGAATTCTCTAGAATATGATGTTGATATTATCAATCCTTCGTAGATTTATATTTCAAAGACTATCATTTTCAATGGATCATATCATTTAAATTCTTCATGTATTGCAGATTGATAAAGAATTTGGAAATAGTTGTATCTACCACATGAGACTATATATTTTCATAATTAATTTCTTATTATCTTTTTGTATAAAACGATTCATTCCTATTCCACATACTTATCTCTTTCATAAGAGTTAATATTTTTACCTCTTTTCTTTTTGATTTTATTAATCATTTTTGTATATATTTTTCAATAAATTTTCTTTCATCATCTTTTTTCCATATATTATGTTAATTGTTATTTTGTATGCATATATATCATAGACGTAGATTTGTTTATTGATTCTATTTTATTATATACATAACTTAATTTTCTTGGATTTCTTCATTATCTCAAATACCTTGAATTTCATAATACATTAATGAGGCACATGTTCTAAATATGAGAACGTTAACGGTGACTTTGACGGTCTTGTTGACGTGACGAATAGATATTGGTTATTTATTTTACGAGCTTTGGCGGACGTTACGGGTTACTGTCTCCGTTTAATAAGATTATGTCGTTGTACAGAAAGTTCGGTGGTCGCTATTATATCAACCTTATCCAGTTCTCATTACTGTCTGAATATTTTTGTTTATATGTTTCTTGATTTTGTCTTTTATTTCTTTTAAAGATATACAGGAAAAGAGGAAAAATCTCGAGCAGAACAATAATCGGAAAATATTTGGGCTGCGAAATGAGATATGCTTATCGACATTAATAAGTCAAAAGATATACAAAAATATTCGTGTATATTTTACTTTCTATTTAAATATGGAGAATACTATGCGGGAAATATGTTGTTTAATGTAGTAGGATGATTAGTTTATAACAAGTGGCCAAATTAAACTTTATCCCGTTTACTTTTAGTAAAATTAATTAAAAACTAATATCGTTAATGGTAAGAAATTAATTTTAAATTGAAGAGTGTTTAATGCTGGATTAGTGCAGAAGCAAGAACTTGGACTAGTTGAAAATGAGATTTTTTTTTTTTTTTTTAAATGAAAATCTGGATTAGTTTATATTTGTTGACGACAAAAAAGAATTAGTTTATATTTAATCATTAACTAAGCTAAGTCTGTATTTAATTTGCTAAGTCATGAGATCGACACGAAATGGATGGACCTTTATTTTAGTGAATCATTTTGTTAAAGTTTAAATTCATGTGAATCTGGAATTGTATTCGAGAAAATAAAAACCCATATACTAAGCCTCGAAACGTAATTTGTAGAAGCTTAGTTAATCTATTAAAGGGAAAGTCTATATACTACTTACCTCTGAATTTTCCAAATATCCTTATGCCACTATTTTAATAACACAGAATTCTGATTTAAATTTGTAAACACCAGCAATTCTTTTAATTAATAAATCAACGCACAATTTTGATTTAAATTTTTAAACCATTAATTCTCTTAATTATTAAACCATCTGTAAACTTTTTTATTCTCTAATTATTAAACTATCACTAAATCAATTCTTCTCAAATTAATAAATCATCACTAAACCACTTATTCTCTTATTAATAAACTAACACTAAACCATCTAATCTTTGATTCCCTATATCTCGTATTTTCTAATCTATAAAATACAATGTATTGCCATATTACTAAACCATCAGTACAACAACGTAACATATTTTATAATTGGACATTAAAAAACTGAACAAAATAAATCAATCTCAAAACTAAAAAAAATATGAAATGATAATTGGACATATTGGTTTATGTTGATGCAGACCTATTGTGGATTTCAACGAGTTGACCTTTCACTATATTGAGTGTATACACTTCTATTCCAAGAACTCTGAATCACAGGTATAGGAAAATTTTACATAGCAATATAATTAACTCTCTTGTTGTTGTAAGTTAACAATTCATTTCTTCTTTGACATGTGTGGTTTTCACAGTTGGGACAGCAAGTTGGTGATGCCACGCAATCCCATGCGGTGAACTCATCAGTTAACACAAACCAGGCAACCACATTGAACCCGGTAAGATGAGATATCAAACCTTTTTTTTTCTACATTTACTGATACATGTGCTTTAAATATTAATCTGCTTTGTTTAAATTTTAAAACCTAATATTCGTTGCTCTAGTCGTAGGTGATGTCCTCTCAAAACAGTGATGGAAATGAGCGCAAGAACTTGGATGATATGATTCTGGACTATCTTAAGCAACTTGCTTCCACGTGAGTTTCACTTTCCTTTACCTGTTGCAACCCACCTAAAGTTGTGTCTGATAATTGGTGTAATTGATGTTTAATGCAGTGCAAGACAACAGGGGATACACCTGGATGAAATTGCCCAGCAATTGAAGGTTCCTAAGAACAAGCTAGAGTAATGCCTCTTTCTCTCCACACTTGATTTTTAATGAGCTGTCTTTATGTTTCTGTGTCTTTCTTTACACAGGGGTGTTATTCAGTCACTGGAAGGTGATGGTTATATACTCAACAATCGATGAGTATCACTTCAGGCATGTCGAGCTTTGATCAATCTAAGAGTAATCAAGACAGAGTTAAAATTCAGTTGGGAAGAGTTGCATTTTAAATCTAGTATCATTCTGCAACTTCTTTAGCTAAGTACCTGCCTGCTTATTGGATTGATTACTATTATGTTCTTGGTTTTGTTTTCCATTTTCTTTGTTGTTCCATATTCTCAAGCTGCATTAAGCCATATCCATACGATGAAGTAAAACCTTGGTTCTATTGTTAATGTTTTGTCAGTAACACACCAGAAACAAGGCAAGGCTTGTTATGAAAGTTGATAATGCAATGAATTTAAGAGGGGAAATAATGCGAACAAATTTTATTAAAATCTACTGCATTACACATTACATTGTTGGCAACAAACAAAAAAATAGTAACGAGGTGGATACATAGAATAAACCAATGAGAAACCCTAATTAACCTACACGAACCAAATCACAAACTATAAGTGATTTTAAAACCCTAATCAGACGGATTAATAAAAATCATTACTTGAAGAAACCAAACCCTAGTTTAAGCCTCTGTTAACTTCTCCAAAGCTTTACTGGGGTTGTTGTTGGGTAAAGGGTTTGTGGATTGGCGACAGAGAGGGCAAGAGTCATGGCGATTCAACCACTTGATCAAGCAATCTTCATGGAACACATGTGCGCAATCAGGCGGTTGGCATAGGGCCTGTTCCGACTCCTCCTCCGACATGTCCTCTAGACAGACCGCACAAGTTCCTTCTACTTTTGTTGTCAGAGAAGCAGAAGTACAAGGCACGACGATGTACTCTTTCTTTGTGAATTTTACGAATAGCGTGATCAACAAGGGTCCTTGTGGCAAGTCTTTTCCTCTTCCGGATGATTCGAGAACAATCCGATCGGTGATAAGTCGAGACAAGACAGGGTCGTTGAAGCGAGTCTTGATTTGTTGATGAACTGTGGTTGGTTCCAAGTCTTTGAACCTGAGAAGGGATAGCGTGTCGGGAGAAGAAGAAGAAGAATCATCGGCGTAAGAGCCGAGACTCGTGATATTACCATCGTCATTCTCGTCTACCGAAAATTCTTCGATTACCCAACTTTGACTAATCAAGACAGAGTTTAAAAACCCTAAGGACAGACCTTGAGGCGTTGCGTGTCCACTGATTTCTACCTTGAGTGATTTAGTTTCCATCTTCTTCTTCCTTGGAAACTCAACAACACAAGAGAGTCGTACGAGAGAGAAATAGATTGTGTCGCAACCGAAACAGAGAGAGAGAGAGAGAGTTGAGATGATATGTTGTTTGTATTTATAAGAAAAAAAGGCTGAGCCATTTAAACGCGTATATGACAATGTTCACTTTCCTTTTTTTACCTCCCTTCATTTTCTTGATTTTTTTATAACGGTCATTTAATTTAATGCTGCATTTCCTTTTTTCGTATTCATTATCTCATTTTCTTGATTGTACCCGTCAGGATGTGGTTCACCCAACCGATGGTTTAAACAATTTTTTTTTTTTTTTTTGTAAAAGTGGTTTAAACAGATTAAACGTTAATGTCCTTGAGATCATGTTAATCATTCAATTTTGTTTTATGAAGAGATGATGACATGAAAGTGTACCGCGCCAAGGTTTTGTATATTTCTCAATGTATAGTTAGCACTTATCTGTAGAATATTGTCTTAGGTTCATATGTAATGTAATTGACCTATAAATGCAGAACGCTGATGCGGCTATGCTGAACCAGATGAGACTCATTTCTTTTTCTTATAGTCGAAGATAACCAAGAGGGGAATGATGTGGATAATGAGGTTGATGGTCTAGAAGGTCAAGAAGAATTGTGCTTTGTGAATCCTAATGGGATATGGTACAAGAAGGAACCTAACTTTCAGTATAACAATTATCAGCAAAGATCCTACTCAAACAATCAACAAGGTGGCTATCAAGGAAAATAAAACTACCCTCAAGGTTACTCTTCCAAAGGAAACCAGTCTACAAATAATTAGGTTGGATCTTCCACTTCTTCTCCACAAGGGAGTAGTACTGAGGCTATGTTGAAGCAAATCTTGGAATCTCAAACTAGAAGTGAGAAGCATGTGGGGTATGAGCTGAATAACCTACATCCAAAGATTGATGGAAGTTGCAATGATCTCAACAACAAGTTCAAAACTCTAGAGAATCAGTTTGCCTCAATGAGTTCTCACTCTAATAGACAACAAGGATCACTTCCTAGGAAATCTGAGCAAAACCCCAAGAAGACAGTGAAGGCTATCACTCTCAAAAGTGGAAAAGAGTTGCCTCCAAAAGCTCTCATTAAGGATAATGAGAAACAACCTGGGGAGGTGGTCATCAATGTAGATGATGATGTGGTGATAGTTGATGAGAAAACTAATGAAGATATCTTCGAAAAGATAGTTGAAGCCAAGAGAAAAGAAAAGGTAGGAGAAGAAAAGGTTGTGACCAAGAATGAAGCTGGTACTTCATCAAAAGGAGCTCCATTCACTCCTCCACCTTATGAGCCAAAACTTCCCTTTCCTGGAAGGTTCAAGAGACATCTATTGGAGCAGTACAAGACCTTGTTTGAGAAGCATATGAATGAAGTTCAGATCACCATGCCCATTATTGATGTTTTTATGCTAGTTCCTCAGTATAGCAAGTTCTTGAAGGATGTTGTGACACAGAAGAAGAAAAAGGAAATGGAAGGAATGGTGGTTCTTACTCATGAGTGTAGTGCTATCATCCAGAGATTAACTGTCCCAAAGAAGCTTGAAGATCCAGAGAGTTTCACTCTAACTTATGCTATTGGACCCTAGCAGTTTGAGAGATGTCCCTGTGACTTGGGAGCTAGTGTCACCCTAATGCCTTTGTCTATTGCTAAGAAGCTTGGGTTTACTCAGTACAAGTAGGGTATGGTCTCTTTGTTGTTAGCTGATCGCTCTATAAAGATCCCAATTGGAATCTTGGAAGATCTTCCTGTGATGATTGGGAGTTGTGAGATTCCTACAGATTTTGTGGTGCTAGAAATGGATGAAGAGCCTAAGGAGCATTTGATCTTAGGGAGACCTTTCTTGGATACAGCATGAGCTATTGTCAATGTGAGAGATGGCAAGATTGATCTCCATCTTGGCAAAGGAAACATCCTACACTTCAACATCAAGAATGTGATGAAGAGACCAACCATTCAAGGCTAGATGTTTTACATTGAGGAGATGGATGCTCTTGCTGATGAGTTTCTTAGCAATTGAGGACTCTCTGCAACATGCTCTAACAGTTGATAGAGAGACCCAACTGATCGAGGACAAGGAAAGCAATGAGTATGTAAGGAGGCTAGACTCTCACAAGGAGATGGATGTAGAAAGCAAGTTTATGGAGCTGCCTCAAGTGGTTCATCATGTTGCTTCAGCTGGTCTACAAGAAAATCTCCTAGAAGCTGATTGGAGTGTGCTCAATGCACCAAAAGTGGAGCTTAAACCTCTTCCCCTTGGTGTAAGGTATGCCTTTATTGGCTCTAACAACACTTACCCCGTCATTGTGAGTAGTCTACTCAATGAAAATGAATTGTCTAAACTTTTAACTAAACTTAAAAAGTATAGAAAAGCAATTGGCTACTCATTTGAAGATATCAAAGGGATATCACCTTCTTCGTGCATGCATAGGATACATCTTGAGGATGAATCTATGACTTCTATTGAACATCAAAGAAGGTTGAATCCCAACATGAAGGATGTTGTAAAGAAAAAGATTCTCAAACTCTTAGATGCTGGTGTTATATACAATGACAATGATGAGGATGAATTAATACCAACTAGAACCATAACATGCCATAAGATGTGTATTAATTACCAAAAACTTAACTCAGCCTCTAGGAAAGATCACTTTCATTACCATTCACTTATCAAATGCTAGAGAGGCTTACCAACCATCCTTATTATTGTTTTCTTGACGGGTACTCGGGATTCTTCCAAATCCTCATACATCCAAATGATCAAGAGAAGAAAACTTTCACATGCCCTTATGGTACCTTCACTTATCGAAGGATGCCATTCGGGTTATGTAATGCTCCGGTTACCTTTCAAAGGTGCATGATGTCAATAAGAGACTAAAAATTATTGTAGTATGTGACGTAATTAGAGGTAGCTGATTAAGCCAATAAGAAGCATCTCCAGTAAAAGAAAAGATATGATAAGATTACCCTAGCAGTTTTATAAATCAGAAGTTCTTCATAACCACAGAAAATCCCTAAATCTAACAACTAAACTACTAATATATGATCATGCAAAACATATTAAAAGTCTGAATAGATTTCATAAAATAATAAGGAGTAAGAATTACATGAGTTTCAGTCAATCTTTGAAGGAGTCTACTATCTTCTCTCCAAAACTTCTATCGTATAAAATAAATGCTTAGCATAAACATTGGCTGGAAAATGGCTGGAAAATACTAAATATTGGTTAAAACACATTCAGGGGCTTCTTTACATATACTAGAAACTTTGGGCCATCTTGTAGTTCTGGAAACTTGGGTCGACTTGCTCGAACATCATGGGTGTCAATCGAACTCTCACCATATCACAACTCCGACTTCAACATTTACGACTTGGTTCTTCAGATGCTCCAAATACCTCCATAATACTCTCAAATGTATTTAAACATGTTAAGATCATAAAACCGACTCAAATTACATAATATATACTCTAAAACTGGATTTATACAAATTTTTAAAATCCTTAAAAAACAATGGATATCATTTTTTTACAACGATAGAGAAACTAAGAAAAAGATCCTCCTAATTCAGAAAGCCAAATTGGAAGTGGGGAATTAACGTAAAACATACCTTATTGAGATCTCTTCGCACAACGTGCAACCTTGTTTGCCAAAGTATTTTGTAGATAATGATTAATAGAAAAAAATAAATGAAAGAGAGAAAAAAATTAACCACATGGTTCCTTAGAGCGTCTCCGGTGGGAAGTTCTCACTTTAGAGTTTAAAAAGATTCATCTATGTGCATTAATATATAAATAATAATATATAGTTGTAGAAATCTTATGTTATGGGAAACCCAACCGAAATTTCTATTTTTAAAAAAATTTGGTTGGGTTTTCCATAACTTTTAGATATCCATAATTAAATAATATATATATATATATATATAGAATTCCAAGGGGAGAACTCCAAACTGGACATGTTCTTAGATGTTATGAGGATGATGAGAGTCTTATGTTCTCGGACTGGCTGTTAAATCAACTGCTTGCCGCTCATGGTTACCGGCTCTTCCAAACTGGTTGAACCATGGAATGTTGCTCTTGTGAAGAAACCAGAGTATGAAACCTCGAGGAAGTACTCTCACCACGTGATCTTTTTCAAATCCACTAAAAAAAGTATTTTGTAAAATTTTAAATAAGAAATATTATTTTTAAAGTTAGAGAAATTTGTTTAAAATTTAATAGACAATTAAAATGTTTATAAAAAATATCTAAAGTAAAAAACAGTAAAAAATATAAATGAAATTTTATGTTTTATTTATTTATAATTAGATTTTTTAAAATTTATTTTTGATATATTCAAATAATTTACAAAAACATTTTTGAAGTTGTCTCTGAATATATAATTTGTTTTACTAAAACAAACAATGAAAAAATCAGTATAATTATAATCTAAAAATAATAGTCAAATACTTAAATAAACATAATCAAATCCTTACACTAACAATTCTAGATAAATTGTTAGAATGCCACAAGTTAAGTACCACATTTCAAAAATAGTCAAAAATATACTAATATTTGGGTTTAGCTTTTAGTAATTATTGTTTAGGGTTTAGTATTAAGGGGTTGGGGTAGGGTTTATAAATTTTCTATAAATATTTGTAAAATTATCTTAGTGTTATTTCATCACAAATGAATATAGTCATTCATTAATAGTAAATTTAAAAAGTGGTATCAAACTTGTGGTAGAATTGAAATTTCCCCACAATTCTAACACACATATTTAACAATCCTAACATAAATTAACAACCTAATACATTTCAATCCCTAATATCTACCAGTTTTAACAACCTAACAAGCATATATAAAAATCATAAATAATCGTAGGAGTGGACTTACATGATTTAGAAGGAGAAGAGGAGAGGATTCACATGTTCTCTTTGGAGGAGAGAGAAAGATTTTGAAGAATTCAGAGACCGAGAAAGAGGCAGAATGAGGAAGAAGAAGAAACTCAAGTTCGTATACTAAAACTACTGATGAATGTGTTTTGTCGGTAA